TTGTGAAAGAGATCACCAGGGCTTCAATGTCGGTGTGTGGTGCCGAGAGAAGAGACGGGCTCATAAGGGCTACAATCGCTTATAGAGAGCTGATACCTGTGTTCCAATCAAAGAAAGATCAGTATTTTAACTTTTTATAATGAGTAAAAAATTCATTTTAGAAAAATATGCGCAAAATGCTGTTATCAATTTTTTAATGTCTTGTCACGCGTATAAATTAATATACCATAAAATTTAATTTTTGGTGTAACTTTAATATATTATTGATGTAACTAAGTTAACTAAGGCTAAGGAATCTTTTTAGACTTTATTTTATTGAGTAGTAGCAAAGCATTTTTCATAACTTCGCATAAACGATATATTTATGATAAAACTTAAATTTTCAGGCTAAATTACCTGACTAAACATTAAATGCAAATAAAAAGAGAATTGGTTCTTAGTATCATATGGTCGAAGACATAAGAAAAATGCCCAGCCGAACCTAAATTCAAAAATTTTTCATAAGTGACCCACTTAATATATATATATATATATATATATATATATATATATATATATATATATATATATATATATATATATATATATATATATATATATATACAGGGACTACTAAAATACCGAGACGCAACTTTTCTGCGATGCGAAAATTGATGCGAATTTGACGAGAGAGCTGACTTTGGCGGTTAGCAATATTGCATTTTGTTATAACTTAAACAAAAATACTAATAAATCTAGAATTAGATTGGTTCTATAAATTTTTGTATAAATCTGTAGATTATCTTGATTATTTGATATTTTTAGTAGGTCTTTTTTTTCTTTTTCTTCACTAGAATAGGTGCTTATAATAAACATGTATAATAAACACGTCAACTTAAGTGTGTTATGTGTGTAGACTTGATAAAGTTAATCTGCAGCCGCATTTCCATTTTAGCATTGTTAATGGTAAGACTTTAGTTGTGCATATTAAAAAGTTTATGTTTTATAACTTAAATTAGAATAAAATTATAAATAATATTGTTTTATTTTTAATTTTTGTATTATATATATTTTAATAAAATGAAATAAATTTAATTTAGAATATTAACATAAAAGCAAAAGTAAAATTGTAAAATAATTTGAGACATGTCTAGAAAATGTTCAGTGAAAAATTCTCGTGGAAGCTATGATGGTACCGAGGAATGTTTCTAAATATCTAATACAAAAGCACTAAGTTAAAATTTTTTTTGAATAAAAAATATTTTAAGGGGTGCCACATGACCCTCGAATATTTAATGGGTCCCTAATATTTTCAAAAAAAAAGTTTTTCAAAAATATGTCAACCTGGTACTCAAATGAAGCGAAATTATATAAAAATTTCAAAAATAATTTTCATTTCGAAAAAAAATTGTTAATTTTGTTTTATTACATAAAAAATTGCGTTTTTTTACAAAAAATTTAAAAAATGCATTTTTGATGATTTATTTTCCTAATTTTGATAAATAAGTTGAATTGAAAAACTTTTTTTTTGAAAATATTAGGGACCCATTAAATATTCGAGGGTCATGTGGCACCCCTTAAAATATTTTTTATTCAAAAAAAATTTTAACTTAGTGTTTTTGTAATAGATAGAACACATTTAGGGGGTGAGAGCAGATTATTTTTAAAAAAGTTGTTTTCAGAACCACCCTTATATATATATATATATATATATATATATATATATATATATATATATATATATATATATATATATATATATATATATATATATATATATATATATATATATATATATATATATATATATACTCCACATGATATTTCTAAAACATTGGAAGCCAAAGATGCATGAATGTTAACAAATTGTTTACAAATTTTAAAATAGTTTTTCAATAATTTAAAGACTTTGCCAGTGATAACATAACGTTCCAATTTTTTTATGAGAATTTTGTGATCGATAGTATCAAAGGCTACCTTTTGATATACATGTAATTGGTATATATGTAATGGATAGTATCAAAAGATATGTGAAAGTTTAATTTTCACTTATTTTGAGATTCTGCACACCGACTACAAGGACCAGTGCACAAACAGCAAAGAAAGTTTTGCTGGTTGAATTTATTTGATGATTCCGAATAAAATTATTTAATTTAAAAACATATAATTTTGTTTTATATTTGTTTTTTATGTATATTTTAAATGCTTTATTCTTTTTTTTGTAGACCTCTTAAATGTCTTATTACATGTTTAAAGATGGCATATTAACTTACATTAAACAGATTTCCGTAGCTGACTTCATTCAAATGTAAGTACCCAACCACCATAGTTTTTGTCCATACGGAATTGCATCAGACCAACATCAGGTAGCTCGGCTAACTGATGGTTTCAGCAGCTTTAAAACAAGGCAATCTGAAAGAAAATCTCCGAACACGACCTTAATACATGGCAGTCTCAAAGTTTACCTCAGCAACTTTTTCAACAAAGTGTTTGATTAAGAGGACACCCAATCTTTGCTAGCACGTTAACAAACAGTCAAAGACAACATTTTTAGCATAATAATTGTTTAAATCTTATTTCTTTATTTTTTATTATTAAAATATTAAAAAAATCAAAAGAATCAAGTTATTTTTGCGCACGCCCAATAAATTATTTTTGCACACACCCAATACAACCGTGCATGAAAAAACCTGTGTTGAGCAATTCTAAAATGTTAAACATTATAAACGAAAATGATATAAATAAAGGATAAGTAATTACTGACATAAAAATGTAAATAGTGACATAAATATGTTAAGTATGTTCTGACGTCATTAAAATATGCAATGTTTTTTGCTATGACCGGAAAATGCTCAAAAGATTTAATTGATTAGTAACAAAAAAATTTCATAACAGTTTTATATATCAATAATGACTTTTTATAAAATTTATTTTAATCTGTATATGATAATACGCACGCGCACGAACATGTAAATTATTACAACTGTATATACAAGTGGTTCTCAAACAGGATCCGCCCCTAATTTCTGTAGGGCCACAAAAAACGAACAAAAATTTATCTGAAACAATAAAATTTATTTATTTATATATATGTATTTATAAATATAATATAAAAATATAAAATATATTTATAAATATATATAATTATAATAAATGTTTGAGTTGCTTATTTATTTTCAATTACATTTATTTTTAAGAAGCAAAATAAAATAAAGTAAAATAAAAATTGTAATTTTAATGTTATAAAATTTTTTACGTTAGGGTGTAACCAAAAATCGGATTGTTAAGAAAAAAAAAAATCATTTAATAATTAATCTTTGTTTAATCTTATTTAATAACTATTGCATAAAATTTTTTAAAAATAAGTAGTTTATGTAATTACAACGGTAACCGAAAATCTGTTTATTGAAAATACGATCCTATTCAATAGTTTATTATTTCTTATGATTTAAGTATATATAAATATAAGTAAATATGTATAAACACAGAATAGTTTGAATAGAATTGAAAATAAAAAAAAATATGCTATATATGCAGTTTTATAAATGTATATTTATACTCGATGTAAACAAAAGTGCAAATGTCGTTTTGTAACAATTGTAAATGTTAGCTGAAAAGTTATTCCCATTATAATTATAAATAGTCAAGTATAACTGAACTATTGAACTCCATTTAAACACTCTTTACTTTATATGTAATCTTTTTAGGTAAAACTTTAGTTTAGTGGGCCCAAGTAGCTTAACTGTTTTGCTTAGAAAATATTTACAATGACATGTGACATGGACAATCACATTTGAAAACATACTTTTTTTAATTAAATTAGAGGACTTTAAATATTGTATTGTTTGAAACCAATATACTAAATAGATATATTGAATGTCGTGAACATCTAATGGCAATATCCGTTCTCCTTAGAGACAAATTTTAATCAAAACAAATTATTTTTATGAGAAAAAAAAAAGATTAAACAAGAAGCTTTAGTGGTTGCGCAAAGTACTGTATAAGCAAGAAGTTTTAGTGGTTACGTACAGCTCTGCATGCTATTATCATATTTAAAACTAGTAAAATCGTATCCGACTTTTCAATACGATACTGTACGTAACCATGAAAGTCATTTCAAAATTATTTGGTAGTGTTTTAAAATAGTTGCTTAAAATTAATATTTTTAACTAATTTAAATATGTAACCCAATTTAAATAGTTTACCCAATTAAAACTGTTTACCCAATTAAAATTGTTTACCCAATTTAAATATGCAATAGTTTAACCAATTTAAAAATCAACAATTTGCATTATGGGTGACTACTTTTGATGGAATTTAACTGGAATTACTTAAATGGTTTGACCAGCATTTTTTTTTTTTACAAATTTTAACAACCTATGTTTTTCGTACCGTCACTCTGTCTACAATTCCATATTCATTACAATTCTATATCAGAATCATTACAATTCTATATCAGTTTTCTCTTTTTGTCTCCATTCTTCTCACTCTATTATCTCCGTCCTTTTCACTCTATTATCTCCGTCCTTCTTATTCTATTATCTCCAACCTTCTTACTTTATTATCTTCATCATACTCACTCTATTAACTTTTTTGTATTTCTTTTGTTTATACCTTGAGTAAAACAGCATTTTTTATAAAAAATGAATTTTTAGCATAAAAAAGGATAAAAAATAAAAATAAAAAAAAGGAAAGAAAGGACATTGATTTTCTCAAGTTTAAGATTTGTTTGAAAAAATAGTAAAATAATATATTATAGTTAGATATATAGTATAATATAACAGTAAGTTTAACAGTAAAAAAAAAAATTTATCAAAAAATTTATTAGTCATTTTTCAAAAGATTTCATATATAACTAGGAAACTGATCACTGTTTGAAATTTAATTTGCGACAACGGAAAGTGATTTTATAACGCGTTATCCGCATAAAACGGGCAGAATATAGGCCTTTGCAAAGCAATTTTTTGTTACGTAATAAATTATACATATAAATTTGTTATTTGTAAAACTATAACCATTAACCGATAGCAAAAAAGGAATTTAACATATAAAAGATGAAAAAGTATCATTTAGTAGTGATTTTAGTATTTAAAATACATGTTGTTGAAAGTAAGTTTTTTTTTTTCCTATAAATATTTTCTCTATAAGAAATACATATAATTTGCTTTGTAGCTAATTCAACCTCAAGTTAAACATATGTCTTAAAAAGATGTCTTACCAAAAGAGCGTTTGATTTGTAAAAAATTTGTAAAATACTTATTTTACAAACTAAGTATCTGCTGATGCACTAAACCATTTTTTTTTTTTTTGCCAATTTAAGATAAAAGTGTGAACGAAGTTTAACTGCCTTTTTAAGTTTTAAAACGACATTGTTTAATAATTGTTTTAAGTGGAAAAGAAAGATAAAAAATAAAAAGAATGATAAAAGAGCTTTTATTTAGCTGTGTCTTGTTTCGCGTATAAAGCGACTACCAAAACAAAAAAACAAACTAATTTTTAAAAAATTTACATGTGTTTTAATCCTGTTGAACATTTTTTTATCAGGATTCAGTTTAAGAAAGATAAGAAGTATAAAAAAAAGGAATCATGCTCAATATAATATATTTTCTAGCTTGTGGTTATTATAAAATTATAACCACAAGCTAGAAAACCTGTATAAAAGCAAAGTGGCAATCATCATATTAGCAAAATAGACAGAATCTGTAACACGTCAATTTTTGTTCTCTATCTTAGAATTAGAAGCTTAATGGGTTCTTTGCATTTCCTGATGTTTTGAGTTTCAGAATAAAGAATAGTAATTTTATTTAGTCTGCAAGATAAAATGAGGTTAGGTGCAAGATGGGAGGGGTAAGAATGAGCCCCACATGAGGGCGGCAAGTAAATAGGAGCAAAAACTTTATTATTTCACATGTTGAATTTAAATTTATAAAAAATATATGTAAACAAAGCGTTCCTTTTTATTATGTTTGTAAATTAAACAGTTATTGCAATGCATTTTTTTTGAATTTAACATTTTATTACTTTCCATGAAGTTTACCAGCAAATTTAAAAAATGGTAAGTGGCAGTCGGATAAATTTCAAATGAAATTTCAAATCAGTGATATCAAACAAAATCATGCTTTTTCATTATTTGTTAAAAAAATAAAATAAAATATTTTTAAAAATTATTATTGAAATTCTTTATTATATATATCAATTCGTGATCCTTCGGTTTTTTAATTTAATATTTTTAACATTTTGAAATTCTCTACTTATCCATCTACATCTAATTCCTCTGGTTTTCTATCTGCCATTTTAAAACTTTTTTAGTAAACTTTTCATTCTAATATTATTAATATTATTACCAATATTTTGACATTATTTATTTATCTATCTATTTATTTAACTCTTTTCATTCAACCATTCTCTACTTTGTACTAAATCTTTGTCGTTGCTGTCATTATTTACTAAATTTTTGTTGCTGCTGTTACTGTCTTTATTTATGAAATTCTCCTTTTATTATATCTGCTATCATTTTATTACTATTATCATTATTGTTATTGTTGTTATTGTTATTATTATTATAATTAGTATTATTGATATCAGTTATCATTACTATTTTCATCATTGACTATAAGGTTATGTTGTATATTCAGGTATTTACTTTATATTAGTACTTGTACTATTATAAATTTCCTTAAAATGTTTTAACTAATTTCGAAATATATTTGATTTGATTGGATAAAAATATCTTAAAACGTCAAAAAACGTAATAAACGAGCCATGTTTTATGCAAAACATTTGTTGAAAACCTCTGAACTCAAAAATAAAGTTTATTTCTTCAAAGCCATACCCTAACCCAAACCCTGGGCCAAACCCTGAACCTAGTCTTAAAGGTCATGGTTAGGAGTTGGTTAGGGCATGGTTTTCAACAATATTCGTTCGGTATAAGACTTTCTTTACGGATAAAATTTATTATTGAGGTCGATACTTTTTTCAAGCGAGCAAATCCAGGTTTTGCGTTTTTTTTAAAATCAAGACCCGAATTATATAAATTTATTTAAACTATTTATACTCATTTTCTTATAACAATTAGCGATAGATAATTTAATGGGTTTTTTATGGAAAACACTAAATCCAATCTTTTAAAGTGCAATCTAAATTTTACTGACCAATACGATCTCCAACGGAAATATAGTTGTACTTTAAAATAAAAGAAACTCTGAGATTTTTAATAACATTTAATAACATTTGTATTTAATATTTATTATTAATCATGTTATTATTAATAATATTTTCGTTAAATATCAATTTGATAACATTTATATCACATTGTAAATGCCGTAATCGGGTCTAGAATTTTTAAAAACTGTTCAAACAGAACTTTGACGGATTGGATTTAACGTTTCCCGTTTTTTATATTAAACCATTCTTTTTAAGATATTATAGCAAAATTTGTTATAATTTATACACGATTAAAAATGATTTCGATATTCAAGTTCTTATTATATTCGGGCCAGGATTTTATAAAAAACGCGAAGCCTGAATTTGCTCACTGGAAAAAAGTTTCAACCTGTTATTGAGGTAGTCCCTCTTTTCAAACTTTTATTTCTACATTGAGCATCCTTGACGTCCGAAAACCGAGATTTTAGGGAATAGGCAAATGTACATACATCGACTTCGCAATGTACATACATCGACTGATTTATTTAGCCATAGGCACAGTGAGTGTGCATACATCGACTGAGGGTTTGGGTTTAGGCAGGTTGTCTTGAACTAAATGAATCATCTTTTTCATGTTTGCGGACTTAAAGGAGACCGTCGGAATAGAGATTTGATAAGAGAGCTTACCTGTTATTGAGCATTGTAGCTATATTTCCACGTATGTTCTGCAATGCAAGCTTTAAAAAAATATTTTTCTAAAAATGTACGAAATATAAAACATTCAAACCGAAAAAAAATTAAAATTTTAAAATTCTGGTATATAAAAATTAAAATTTTTATTTTTTTTTTCGGAAAACTCTAGTATAACTACATAGAATAGGAAATTAAGGTGGCAAAGTTGTAGCTTTTCCAATCCCTAAAATCGGACCTGCTTAGGGGTTGTCCATTAATTGTCAACAAAATTGGGGGAGGGGGTCAGAACTTTTATGACAATTATTGACAAGGAGAAGGGGGAGGTCAAGAAAAGTTGACGTCAACACTTTACTTTTTTTTTTAAACGATCCTTTTTTTTATAAATTTAATTATTTAAAAAAATGAAAATCAGGCAGCGAAAGATAACAGTCCTGTGCAGGGCCGGCGCGAGTATGTCACATTGCGGAGTGAGGGGGGGGGGGGAGAGTGCCATTACAGTTTGTCAAAAAAAAAATGGTCTAAAATTTTCTGATTGACTGCCTAAATTTGCAGACTGAATAACTCATCCCCTCCCCTACCCATACACACCCCTTCGGGCCGGCCTTGGTCCTGTGTTACATACTTCACCTCCAGTATTTTAATAAAACTGTTTATAATTCCTAATTTATAAATATGGTTTAGCAATTTTATGCTATTTTAAATTATTAAATATAAGATAAAATATACGTTAAATAAATTATGTTACCACATTACTAATAAATATATACACTTATATATAAGTATATATATTATATATTAATATTGTTTATGTTAATATTAAACTAGTTCATTCTTTTTCACGTATAACTTCCATTCCGAATTTCCTCTTATCAAAATTCTTCATCGAAGGGGGCATACTATTATACAGTTTAATTCATTCGCAGAATATTGAATTACGGCCTTATTATCTGGTTGAGGAATATGATAGTCCTTAGATAATCTGGTGTAATGAATATGCATATCCTCATTTTTAACTCACATTTTTTAATACAGCCACATTTTCTAATTTGATATTATTATGTATAAACGTCAGAACTTTTACCGTAAAAATTTGCTTGATAGCCAATTCAATTCATTAAGCATATCAACACTATGTATAAACCAATTACATTTGAGGATAGATCTCATTGCTCTGTTTTGCAGCATATGAAGGCTTGGAGATTACTTTTATTTGTTCCTAATAAGAGTGAGGCACAGTATTGATAGTGGGGTGCAATAATTGTGTTGAAAACCAGTATTTTAGTCCATTTAGTAGTAAATCTAGATATTCTATACAGATAACCTGTTTTTTTAGATATTTTTTTTTGCTATATTATAAATATGTTCTTTAAAATTCAATAGATCATCTAATACCACACCTAGATATTTGTCGTTTTCACAGAACTCAAGTATGGCTCCACCAAATATAATTCTTATGTAGGGAAAGTTTGTGTTAATCGTATTTTTATTTGCTTAGATTGTGTAATTAGCATTGACATTGATTTATTTACGTTTAATTTAAGACTATTTTGATATAACCACTCAGTGAGCTTCTTTAAGTCATTGTTAAGTTTATTCTCCTCAAAACTTTCTCCTTTGATGCACGCTAAGGTGTTGTTTGCAAACAGATTGGTGTCTACAAATTCTGTTATACTGTCAATATCATTCGTATATGTTATAAAAATTAAGGATACAAGAACGCTGCCTTGTGGAACTCCAACATCACACAGTAGTTCATCTGATATATTTTCATCAATTTTGACTACTTGCATTCTGATAATTACATATCCATTTAAGAACTTTACCTCTCACTTTATATTTTCTTAATTTATTAACTAAGGTTAATATTAATTTTAATATACAAATACTATTAATTGTTTCAAAAGTTCTCTTTAGACCTAACATTATGATTATTACAAATTTATTGTTGTTGATCGAAGATCTCCATTTAGAGACAACAGTTTGAATAGCTATTTCTTTTTAGTTACCTTTCCTAAATCCAAACTGTTTTTTAATAGATAGATTATTTATTTCAAAGTAGTTGGATAGTTGAGTGTACTATACCAGTCTGCAATGGTAGATTAATTAATTTCATAAGTTTATTTTTAATGGAAGGATATATTTTTTTAAAAATAAATACACTCATTTCTTCACAAACACAATTTCTTCATTTTTTCCTCATGCATACCTACTACAAGTTGATCAAGTGTTTCTTGAGACATGTTTTTGAACTTATGTAAACCTTTAATAATTTTGTCGATCTGATTGTCAATATGATGTCGATATGATTTTTAACTATTTTTTGTCACTTCATTGTATTTTGGATGTCAATAATACTTTCGATGAGGAGTTCATTGTATTTATTGACTTATCACTTTTGTCTTCTAATTCAATATTTTTCCATACACATTTACTATTATCTGATGTATTAGTTATTTTTATAATACTTTCCACATGGTTTTACTATCTCCTTTCACCACATCCACTTTATTCTTATAAATTTTTTTTTTAATTTTCTTATTAAGGAAGTTTTTAAGTTTCTGCATTTTTTGTATTTTCGGTATTGTGTTTGACACATAGTGTTACCTTCTTTCTTCATTATTAAGAATTTTCTCTATTCATAGTTTACTTGTTTTGATATATTGATAGTACTAGGATTATTTAACCAGTTAGAGTATGGTGTTCTATTGTTTATTATCATTTTTGTTTTAATTTCCTTTTTGATTTTCTCTTGAATGTTATTAACCATTATATTTGCCATTTCGTTAACATTTAGTTACTTCATGTCTTTATCATTTATTTTGATTTTATTTCTAATCATAATTTTCTTGTTTAGTTTATTGTAATACATGTTTTCATACAGTTTAACAGTTTTATATTTTACTAATATATTGTCATATTTCTTAACTTTAATATCAAATTTATGTTCAACACTTACTACCTCATGATCTGTCATTTTTGGCTGTACAGAATCATCACTTTCTACTTCATATTTAGTTTGAAAATAATTTGATCAACACAGATACTTGTATGTTCAGTAATTCTTATGGGTACACTAGAGCTGGTATACTATGATTATTTATGATCTTTAGACTAAGATTCTTGTTAACTATTTCTCATTTTTTTAAGAAGTTAATTTTTTTTAGAACGTCAATGTTGAAATCTCCCATAACAATAACTTTTTTGTACTTACTGCTTCCATTACTTATATATGATCCATAGAAGTCAATAAATACATTTATCAAGTTTTGATGAGGAGACCTATATACATATATCACACAAATAGACCTGTTAACATATTTCATTATTGTTTTTATTAACCACCGTTTTGCGTCTTTGATATCTACTTCATAATTCATCATTTTTATATCATCTCTAATATAAATAAAGTGTACATCCTCTTGTATGAACATTGGAAGATAATATGCTTCTTTCATTATATCCATTTATTTTAAATTCTTTATTGTAGTGATCTTTTGTTAAGTGTGTTTCAACTACACCAAATATTTCAAGTTTAAAATCTCTGACAAACTGTTCCACCTCTGTTATTTTGTTGACTGAACCATTTATATTTACTAGAATACATTTAAATGTTCTATTAGTTTTTGGTTGCTATCTGATTCATATTTTAATCCTTGCTTTCACTACCATATACAATGGACAGTTACAGTCATTAGCATAATCATTATATTGAAACTGAGGATCATATCAAATCTGAAGATGGCATTTTCTTTGTAGTAGTGGATGCAGTTTCTCTGTAGTAGTGGATACATATTCTCTAACTAGCTAACTCAATTCTGTTTGCACAACTAATAGTCACTTCACCTTTCTTATTCCTTTTCAACATATTAATTCCTTTTTTAACTCCTAATTTTTAAAGTTCTCAGTAACAGGTTTTCTTGTGTCAATTATGTTGTTTGGTTCAATCAAACTTACAACAAAGCTATTGATAATTTTGCTTTCTTGATGATTGTTTATGGTTTCAGAATTAGTTTTTTGTAAATAAATTTCATTAATTTGTTTTTTTATTGATTAGGATATTGATATTGTTGTACCCCCTCGGTATTTTGTTTTTGATGATGAGAGTTATGAGTTTGCTGTTGTTCATTAATCACCTCAAGGTTTTTTACTCCATTAATAATGTTATCTCTATTCAGGTCTATCATTTTACTATGTGAGCCATCAAATTCCATTTTCTCTTGAATAATATTGTTATTGTATTTTAACTTAGTATTTTCAATAGGCATTATTTTATTTAACTCATTCAATCTAATATTTTTATTTATTAAGGCTATAGAGACTTCATTCATTTTGTTTACTTTAATTATTCCCTTGATTTTTTTCTTCAAGTTTTTTCTACATTCTGGAGAAGCCCACTTTAGTTCCCTAATTTTTGCAATTACAATATATAAATAATAAATGGTTCATCGCTTAATTCAATACATTTAGTGTTAAACCATCACATATATCACAACAGATAGATGTTTTAGATTTATTAAGTTTAAATTCACAGTGATTACAAAACCAGTTTTTTTCAGTTTGTTTTTTCCTTTTTTTTAACCATACTTAGCACCTTTTTTCTTCAAATTTTTAAGCAATTATTGACATTATCGACATTAAATTGTGCTTTAAAAAGCGCCAACATATATAGAACTAAACAATTACACATGAGATGTTTACTCATAATGCTATTATTTTTTCAAAGTTGTTGTTGTCTCAGTTTTGTTTGCAAACAAAAAAGATTCATGTAAGTATATAGTCTAAATTTTTATTATATCTTTTTTCCATTTTATTTTGATTTTCTTTTGAGAAAAAAAAGGGGGGGGGGGAGTAAATGACTGTTGACAAGATTTTTATGGGGTTTCTGGAAGTTTGACAAGTTTTTGACAAGGAGGAGGGGGGCAAATTGAAAATCGACAAAAAATTGTCAGTGTAATTAATAGACAGCCCCCTATCATACACTCTGCTGCTTAAATCCCTAAATAATAAAACAAAAAACAAATAAATTTAAATAGTAAAAACAGTAAATAAATTTGCGAAAAATTTTTGAATTAAAAAATAAACAATAATAAAATTTAATTAGTTTCCCCAGTTTTTCATTGGTTTATAGATATTATATATATATATATATATATATATATATATATATATATATATATATATATATATATATATATATATATATATATATATATTAAAATAATTAAATCTAGTAACAATAACAACAATAATAATAATATTAATGATAATAATAATAATAATGATAACAAAGATGTAGTCAAGACAGAAAAGGTCAATACCACAAATAAGACTAATATATTCGGGCTTAAGACTAAGACTTTAGACATCAAGGCCATTATCAAGACCAAGACATCAAAAAGTCAACACAAGAACCAGACCAAGACTTCAAAGTTTTTCACAAGACCAAGATCAAGACTTAGGTTCTTAGGAGTTTAACACAAGACTTATGCTCAAACATGTATGTGTACTATTAGGTCTTTAGCTGATATATTATTTTACCATTTATACACATTACTTTATAATATATATATATATATATATATATATATATATATATATATATATATATATATATATATATATATATATATATATATATATATATATATATGTATATAACTATTATCTTCATATCCACATTGTTATGTTTTTATTTATATGATGCAGTTTTTATATTTAATAATATGATTTTTAATTTAGTTATAGGATGCAATTTTTACAGTTATTTAAATAATTATAAAAGTTATACATAACTTTATAAGTATATATATAATAGTAATGAAAAATAATTTAGAATTGAAATTTATTTAATTTAAAATTAGTTGAAATTATTTAAAAAAAAGTTAATAAAAAAGTAAATAATAACTTTTATAAAAATCCTACATTTTATAAAAATAATAAATTTTGCATATATATATATATATATATATATATATATATATATATATATATATATATATATATATATATATATATATATATATATATATATATATATATATATATATATATATATATATATATATATATATATATATATATGTATATATATATATATATATATATATATATATATATAAATATATATATATATATATATATATATATATATATATATATATACATATATATATATATATACACATATATATATATATATATATATATATATATATATATATATATATTTATATATATATTTATAATGCTCTGCCCTATTGTCATATTTGCAATGTAAGTGCTAGAGGCAGTGGCTCTATTTTTCCCCATACACATTTTTTTTGTCAGCATCAGCAACAATCAACTTTGCATGGCTTTCTTTGTTGGCATTATTTCTTATTTATTTCCCATTTTTTATTCAAACAGATATTTTTCTATATAACAAAGCATAGTTGTTGTCAATAATACATAGCATACCTTCTATATTTAGCAGATTTTGTTTATTTTAATTTTCAATATATTTTTTATTATTTACATATATATTTTTTTTCTTTTTCTTTCTATTTTTAAGTTTTTATAATATATTTTAGTGATACAAACATTTGGGCCAGGCAACATAAATGCTGCAAGTATCAGTTTAACAACAAACAAACCTTCATATATTTCACAAAAATCAACAACTAAAATTAATAACTTAGTGACAAAATGTGAAGATGAGGTGAAAAATACTTTTACTGACACTCAAAGAGATAACTCTTTATTAAAAGATTTTCAGAGTAATCAGAATCTAATTAGTAATAAACAAAACACTATAACTAAATGTGATCAGGAAATTATAAAAATAAAACCACTTTCAGTGGTAAATAAAACACAAGTAATAACTTTATCAACCAAAATTTTTCCTTTATCAACTTTAAATAAAAACTTAACTACAATAAACAAATGTGAAGATGAAACTTTAATTACAAAATCAAGAAGTAACGAAAAGTTAATTAGCATCGAAAATAAAATAACAGTAAGTACAAAAGTCTTAACAAATTTAGATCAAACTTTAAATAAAACTCGAATAATAATTTCCCCAACAAAAGCTTCTACTCTGTCAACTTCATCTAAAAATTTTGTTTCAGATGAAGATGAATCTTTAAAAATAACGAAAAGTAACCAAAATTTAAGTAACCGAGAAAATATCACAACAAAAAATGCTCAGATAATTATACAAAATGACAAAAGCATCTCCAAATGTGAGCTTGAAAAAGAAACTAAAAAAGTTATAAAGAATACAACTGCAATACCTAAAACTTCATCAGAAGCAAATGAAAAAGACAAAACAATTATGCCAACCATAATTACAAGGTGTGAAAATGAAATATTATATTATAAATCTATTAATCAAATAGATATTTCTGAAAAACCTTCTGTATCAACAAAATCAACAATTTCAGAACAAAAGACAGATAATAAAGAATCTACTAGAGCATCATTATTCTCAGCTCAACCAACCTCAACTGCAGGACCTGAAGAAGAAACCTCGTCAATCCGAATAGTTCTAAGTTCATCATTGTCACCAATTTCATCAAAGTTACCAACATCTATTGAACAGAAAACATCTCAGAAACCTTTCGTACCAGATAAGTCAACAGTTTTATCAACAAAGGAGGAAAAAACACAATATACTCAAGCATCATCAGTCTCTCGCACACCAACCTTTAATGCAACAACTAAAGAGCATCAGGCCTCAGAAAAAATTAAGCAAATTAGTACAACAATATCACCAATTTCATCAACATCTATAGAACAAAAAGCATCTTACAAACCTTCCGTAACAGAAAAGTCAACAATTTCAACAACAACACCTGATAAATTACAATCTACTCAAACATCATCAGTTCCCGTTCAACCAACCTCATGTGCTGAAGAACATCAAACCTCAACAATAAAAAACCAAGTAAGTACAAAACTAACACCAATTTCATCAGAATTACCAATATCAAATAAATTTGAAACAACTCAAAAATCTTCTCCATCAGAAAAATCAACATTTTCAATTAAAAAGAGCGATCTAACACAATCTACTAAAGCATCATCAGTCACATTTCAACCAACCACTTGTGCTGATGAACATATAATAACGAAACAGATAAGTACAACAGGGTCACCCATTTCATCAAAGTTATCAACATCTATTCAACAGGAAACATCTCAGAAACCTTATGTATCAGAAAAGTCAACAATTTTAGCAACAAAATCTGATAAAACACAATCTAGCCAAGCATCATCAGTATCTGATAAACTAACCTCTACTGCAGCAACTGAAGAACTTAAAACCTCATCAATAGAAAAGCAATTCAGTACAATAGTGTCACCGACTTCATCAAAGTTACAAACATCTATTGAAAAGGAGACATCTCAAAAATTTTCTGGATCGGAAAAGTCAACAATTGTAGTTACAAAGAATGTGGAAACTCAATCTACTCAAGCATCATCAGTACCTGGTAAACCAACCTCTACTGCAGCAACTGAAGAACTTAAAACCTCATCAATAGAAAAACAATTCAGTACAACAGTGTCACCGACTTCATCAAAATTACAAACATCTATTGAACAGGAGACATCTCAGAAATTTTCTGGATCGGAAAAGTCAACAATTGTAGTTACAAAGAATGTGGAAACTCAATCTACTCAAGCATCATCAAAATCTAGTAAACCAACCTCTACTGCAGCAACTGAAGAACATCAAACCTCAGCAATAGAAAAACAATTTGGTACAACAGTGTCAACAATTTCATCAAAGTTACCAACATTTATTCAACAGGAAACATCTCAGAAATCTTCTGTACTGGAAAAGTCAACAGTTGCAGCAACACAGACTGATAAAGCACAACCTAGCCAAGCATCATCAGTATCTGATAAACTAACCTCTACTGCAGCAACTGAAGAACGTCAAACCTCATCAATAGAAAAGCAATTCAGTACAACAGTGTCACCGACTTCATCAAAGTTACAAACATCTATTGAACATGAGACATCTCAGAAATTTTCTGGATCGGAAAAATCAACAATTGTAGTTACAAAGAATGTGGAAACTCAATCTACTCAAGCATCATCAAAATCTAGTAAACCAACCTCTACTGCAGCAACTGAAGAACGTCAAACCTCATCAATAGAAAAACAATTTGGTACAACAGTGTCACCAATTTCATCAAAGTTACTAACATCTATTCAACAGGAAACATCTCAGAAATCTTCTGTGTTGGAAAAGTCAACAGTTATAACAACACAGACTGATAAAGCACAATCTAGCCAAGCATCATCAGTATCTGATAAACTAACCTCTACTGCAGCAACTGAAGAACGTCAAACCTCATCAATAGAAAAGCAATTCAGTACAACAGTGTCACCGACTGCATCAAAGTTACAAACATCTATTGAAAAGGAGACTACTCAGAAAGTTTCTGGATCGGAAAAGTCAACAATTGTAGTTACAAAAAAAGTGGAAACACAATCTACTCAAGCATCATCAGTACCTGGTAAACCAACCTCTACTGCAGCAACTGAAGAACTTAAAACCTTATCAATAGAAAAACAATTCAGTACAACAGTATCACCGACTTCATCAAAGTTACAAACATCTATTGAACAGGAGACATCTCAGAAATTTTCTGGACCGGAAAAGTCAACAATTGTAGTTACAAAGAATGTGGAAACTCAATCTACTCAAGCATCATCAAAATCTAGTAAACCAACCTCTACTGCAGCAACTGAAGAACATCAAACCTCAGCAATAGAAAAACAATTTGGTACAACAGTGTCACCAATTTCATCAAAGTTACCAACATCTATTCAACAGGAAACATCTCAGAAATCTTCTGTGTTGGAAAAGTCAACAGTTATAACAACACAGACTGATAAAGCACAATCTAGCCAAGCATCATCAGTATCTGATAAACTAACCTCTACTGCAGCAACTGAAGAACGTCAAACCTCATCAATAGAAAAGCAATTCAGTACAACAGTGTCACCGACAACATCAAAGTTACAAACATCTATTGAAAAGGAGACATCTCAGAAATTTTCTGGATCGGAAAAGTCAACAATTGTAGTTACAAAAAATGTCGAAACACAATCTACTCAAGCATCATCAGTACCTGGTAAACCAACCTCTACTGCAGCAACTGAAGAACTTAAAACCTTATCAATAGAAAAACAATTCAGTACAACAGTGTCACCGACTTCATCAAAGTTACAAACATCTATTGAACAAGAGACATCTCAGAAATTTTCTGGATCGGAAAAGTCAACAATTGTAGTTACAAAGAATGTGGAAACTCAATCTACTCAAGCATCATCAAAATCTAGTAAACCAACCTCTACTGCAGCAACTGAAGGACATCAAACCTCAGCAATAGAAAAACAATTAGGTACAACAGTGTCACCAATTTCATCAAAGTTACCAACATCTATTCAACAGGAAACATCTCAGAAATCTTCTGTGTTGGAAAAGTCAACAGTTATAACAACCCAGACTGATAAAGCACAATCTAGCCAAGCATCATCAGTATCTGATAAACTAACCTCTACTGCAGCAACTGAAGAACGTCAAACCTCATCAATAGAAAAGCAATTCAGTACAACAGTGTCACCGAATACATCAAAGTTACAAACATCTATTGAAAAGGAGACATCTCAGAAATCTTCTGTACTGGAAAAGTCAACAATTGTAGTTACAAAAAATGTCGAAACACAATCTACTCAAGCATCATCAGTACCTGGTAAACCAACCTCTACTGCAGCAACTGAAGAACTTAAAACCTCATCAATAGAAAAACAATTCAGTGCAACAGTGTCACCGACTTCATCAAAGTTACAAACATCTATTGAACAAGAGACATCTCAGAAATTTTCTGGATCGGAAAAGTCAACAATTGTAGTTACAAAGAATGTGGAAACTCAATCTACTCAAGCATCATCAAAATCTAGTAAACCAACCTCTACTGCAGCAACTGAAGGACATCAAACCTCAGCAATAGAAAAACAATTAGGTACAACAGTGTCACCAATTTCATCAAAGTTACCAACATCTATTCAACAGGAAACATCTCAGAAATCTTCTGTGTTGGAAAAGTCAACAGTTATAACAACCCAGACTGATAAAGCACAATCTAGCCAAGCATCATCAGTATCTGATAAACTAACCTCTACTGCAGCAACTGAAGAACGTCAAACCTCATCAATAGAAAAGCAATTCAGTACAACAGTGTCACCGAATACATCAAAGTTACAAACATCTATTGAAAAGGAGACATCTCAGAAATCTTCTGTACTGGAAAAGTCAACAATTGTAGTTACAAAAAATGTCGAAACACAATCTACTCAAGCATCATCAGTACCTGGTAAACCAACCTCTACTGCAGCAACTGAAGAACTTAAAACCTCATCAATAGAAAAACAATTCAGTGCAACAGTGTCACCGACTTCATCAAAGTTACAAACATCTATTGAACAGGAGACATCTCAGAAATTTTCTGGACCGGAAAAGTCAACAATTGTAGTTACAAAGAATGTGGAAACTCAATCTACTCAAGCATCATCAAAATCTAGTAAACCAACCTCTACTGCAGCAACTGAAGAACATCAAACCTCAGCAATAGAAAAACAATTTGGTACAACAGTGTCACCAATTTCATCAAAGTTACCAACATCTATTCAACAGGAAACATCTCAGAAATCTTCTGTGTTGGAAAAGTCAACAGTTATAACAACACAGACTGATAAAGCACAATCTAGCCAAGCATCATCAGTATCTGATAAACTAACCTCTACTGCAGCAACTGAAGAACGTCAAACCTCATCAATAGAAAAGCAATTCAGTACAACAGTGTCACCGACAACATCAAAGTTACAAACATCTATTGAAAAGGAGACATCTCAGAAATTTTCTGGATCGGAAAAGTCAACAATTGTAGTTACAAAAAATGTCGAAACACAATCTACTCAAGCATCATCAGTACCTGGTAAACCAACCTCTACTGCAGCAACTGAAGAACTTAAAACCTTATCAATAGAAAAACAATTCAGTACAACAGTGTCACCGACTTCATCAAAGTTACAAACATCTATTGAACAAGAGACATCTCAGAAATTTTCTGGATCGGAAAAGTCAACAATTGTAGTTACAAAGAATGTGGAAACTCAATCTACTCAAGCATCATCAAAATCTAGTAAACCAACCTCTACTGCAGCAACTGAAGAACATCAAACCTCAGCAATAGAAAAACAATTAGGTACAACAGTGTCACCAATTTCATCAAAGTTACCAACATCTATTCAACAGGAAACATCTCAGAAATCTTCTGTGTTGGAAAAGTCAACAGTTATAACAACCCAGACTGATAAAGCACAATCTAGCCAAGCATCATCAGTATCTGATAAACTAACCTCTACTGCAGCAACTGAAGAACGTCAAACCTCATCAATAGAAAAGCAATTCAGTACAACAGTGTCACCGAATACATCAAAGTTACAAACATCTATTGAAAAGGAGACATCTCAGAAATCTTCTGTACTGGAAAAGTCAACAATTGTAGTTACAAAAAATGTCGAAACACAATCTACTCAAGCATCATCAGTACCTGGTAAACCAACCTCTACTGCAGCAACTGAAGAACTTAAAACCTCATCAATAGAAAAACAATTCAGTGCAACAGTGTCACCGACTTCATCAAAGTTACAAACATCTATTGAACAGGAGACATCTCAGAAATTTTCTGGACCGGAAAAGTCAACAATTGTAGTTACAAAGAATGTGGAAACTCAATCTACTCAAGCATCATCAAAATCTAGTAAACCAACCTCTACTGCAGCAACTGAAGAACATCAAACCTCAGCAATAGAAAAACAATTTGGTACAACAGTGTCACCAATTTCATCAAAGTTACCAACATCTATTCAACAGGAAACATCTCAGAAATCTTCTGTGTTGGAAAAGTCAACAGTTATAACAACACAGACTGATAAAGCACAATCTAGCCAAGCATCATCAGTATCTGATAAACTAACCTCTACTGCAGCAACTGAAGAACGTCAAACCTCATCAATAGAAAAGCAATTCAGTACAACAGTGTCACCGACTACATCAAAGTTACAAACATCTATTGAAAAGGAGACATCTCAGAAATTTTCTGGATCGGAAAAGTCAACAGTTGTAGTTACAAAAAATGTGGAAACACAATCTACTCAAGCATCATCAGTACCTGGTAAACCAACCTCTACTGCAGCAACTGAAGAACTTAAAACCTTATCAATAGAAAAACAATTCAGTACAACAGTATCACCGACTTCATCAAAGTTACAAACATCTATTGAACAGGAGACATCTCAGAAATTTTCTGGACCGGAAAAGTCAACAATTGTAGTTACAAAGAATGTGGAAACTCAATCTACTCAAGCATCATCAAAATCTAGTAAACCAACCTCTACTGCAGCAACTGAAGAACGTCAAACCTCATCAATAGAAAAGCAATTCAGTGCAACAGTGTCACCGACTTCATCAAAGTTGCCAACATCTATTCAACAGGAAACATCTCAGAAATCTTCTGTATTGGAAAAGTCAACAATTCAAGCAACAAATACTGATAAAGCAAAGTCTACCCAAGCGTCATCAGTATCTGGTAAACTAACATTTACTATATCAACTGAAGGTCATCAAACCGCAGCAATAGAAAAGCAGTTCAGTACAACTCTGTTGCCTATTGCATCTTCATCTGTTAAAGCAAAAACATCCATTAAACCTTCTTTATCAGAAAAGTCTACGATTTTGGCAACAACAGCTGATGAATTACAAACTTTTAAAACATCATCAGTTCCAGTAGAACCCACTTCGTGTGCTGAGGAACATCAAATCTCAACAAATAAAAATCGTATAACTACAAAGGTGACTCTGATTTCCTCAAAATTACCGATATCAATTGAACTTGATGTGTCTTCTCAAAAATCTTCTTTTATAGAAAAAACAACAATTTTATCTACAAAGAATGATCAAACCCAATCTACTCAAGCATCATCAGTTCAACCAAGCACTTGTGCTGACGAACATAAATCAATAAAACAGTTTAGTACAACAGAATCATCAATTTCATCTAATTTGCTAACATCTGTTAAACAGGAAACATCTCAAAGTTCTTCTATATTAGAAAAGACAACAGTTTTAGCAACAACATCTGATCAATTACATTCTTCTAGAACATCATCAGTTCCAGTTCAACCATCTTCATGTTCTGAAGAACATCAAACCCCAACAATAAAAAACCAAGTAAGTACAAAGTCAACACCTATTTCATCAAAAATACCAATATCAAATAAAGTTGAAACATCTCAAAAATCTTCTCTACCAGAAAAAACAATAATTTCAGTTGCAAACAGTGATCTAACACATTCTACTAAAGCATCATCAGTCCCATTTCAACCAATCACTTGTGCTGATGAACATATAATAATGAAACAGATAAGTACAACAGGGTCACCAATTACATCCAAATTACCAATATCTACTGAACAGGAAACATCTCAGAAGTCTTATGTATCAGAAAAGTCAACTATTGTAGCAACAAAAACTGATAAAACACGATCTACCCAAGCATCATCAGTATCTGGTAAGTTAACATCATCTGCATCAACTAAAGAAGATCAAACCTCAGCAATAGAAAAGGAATTCAGTACAACAGTGTCACCAATTTCATCTAAGTTATCAACATCTATTGAACAAGAAACATCTCAGAAATATTCTGTATCGGAAAAGTCAACATTTGTAGCAACAAAAGATGTCAAAACACAATCTACTCAAGCATCATCAGTATCTGGTAAACCATCATTCTCTGCAGCAACTGAAGAACATCAAACCTCAGAAATAGAAAAGCAGTTCAGTTCGACAGTGTCACCAATTTCATATAAGTCACCAACATCTATTAACCAAGAAACATCTCAGAAATCTTCTATATTAGAAAAGTCAACAATTTTAGCAACAAAAACTGATAAAACACAATCGAATCTAGAACCATTAGTTTCTATTAAATCAACCTCTACTGGTGCAACGGAAGAACAACAAACTTCAGGAATTTTTAAACAATTCAGTACAACAGTAATACCTATTTCATCATTATCTATTGAAACAATAACATCCAATAAACCTTCTGTATCAGAAAAGTCAACACTTTCAGCAACAACAGTTGATGAATTAAATTCTTCTAGAACATCATCAGTTCCAGTTCAACCATCTTCATGTTCTGAAGAACATCAAACCCCAACAATAAAAAACCAAGTAACTACAAAACTAACACCTATTTCATCAAAATTACCAATATCAAAGAAAGTTGAAACAACTCAAAAATCTTCTCTATCAGAAAAAACAACAATTTCAGTTACAAACAGTGATCTAATACATTCTACTAAAGCATCATCAGTCCCATTTCAACCAACCACTTGTGCTGATGAACATATAACAATAAAACAGAAAAGTACAACAGGGTCACCAATTACATCTAAATTACCAATATCTACTGAGCAGGAAACATCTCAGAAATCTTATGTATCAGAAATGTCAACAATTGAATCAACAAAAAATGATAAAACACAATCTACCCAAGCATCATCAGTATCAGGTAAGCCAACATCATCTGCACCAACTAAAGAACATCAAACCTCAGCAATAGAAAAGGAATTCACTACAATAGTGTCACCGACTTCATCAAAAATACAAACATCTGTTGAACAGAAAACATCTCAGAAACCTTCTGTATCAGAAAAGTCAACCATTTTAGCAACTAAAACAGACAAAACACAATTAACCAAAGCCTCATTGGTATCTGACAAACCAATCTCTACTGCAGCAACTGAAGAACATCAGATATCATCAATAGAAAAGCAATTTAGTACAACAGTGTCACCAGTTTCATCAAAGTTGCCAACATCTATCCAACAGGAAATATCTCAGCAATCTTCTGTGTTAGAAAAGTCAACAATTGCATCAACAAAGACTGATAAAACACAATCTAGCCAAGCATCATCAATAGAGAAGAAAATCAGTACATCAGTTTCACCGTTTTCATCTAAAGTTCCAACATCTATTTACCAGGAAACATCTCATGAACATTCTGTATCAGACAAGTACTCAGTTTTTGAATCAACAACAACTGGTAAGACTCAATCTTCAAAAGTTTCATCAATTCTAGTTAAACCAACATCTTTTCTTACAACTAGTGAACACGATAATAATGTCTCAACAATTATTTCAACTTCAATGCAACAAAATGCATCAAAAGTAAAATCATCTTTTGAAACAACAAAAGATGATTTTAAAACAACAACATCAAAGCACAATACTAAGACGTTTGATTTCACAAAAACATCAACAGAAACATTAGTTTCAACCAATAAGAGGTCATCAAAACGACCCCCTAAAATAAAAATAAGAATTATATCCTGTAATGATTCAAGTACTAGTAACTTAAAAATAAGTACAACATCTTCACCAGTTTCATCAACATCTGCAGATATTGGAACAACCTTAAAAGCCTCAACTACATCTTCAACAATTGCTTCAACTGTCACTTTACAAGATTCAACAATACAGCAGCAATCAACTGACTCAACTACTTCTGAAACATCAACTGATGTACTTTCAAGTGTATCTAGTCAGTCTGTAGAAAGCACTGTACCAACATCTACAGTTACTGATACTGATACTTTCTCCGAAGTCTCTTCAGTTTCATCAACATCTGCAGATATTGAAACAACCTTAGAAGCCTCAACTACATCTTCAACAATTGCTTCAACTGGCACTTTACAAGATTCAACAATGCAGCAGCAATCAACTGACTCAACTACTTCTGAAACATCAACTGATGTACTTTCAAGTGTATCTAGTCAGTCTGTAGAAAGCACTGTACCAACATCTACAGTTACTGATACTGATACTTTCTCCGAAGTGTCTTCAGTTTCATCAACATCTGCAGATATTGGAACAACCTTAGAAGCCTCAACTACATCTTCAACAATTGCTTCAACTGTCACTTTACAAGATTCAACAATGCAGCAGCAATCAACTGACTCAACTACTTCTGAAACATCAACTGATGTACTTTCAAGTGTATCTAGTCAGTCTGTAAAAATCACTGTACCAACATCTACAGTTACTGATACTGAGACTTTCTCCGAAGTGTCTTCAGTTTCATCAACATCTGCAGATATTGGAACAACCTTAGAAGCCTCAACTACATCTTCAACAATTGCTTCAACTGTCACTTTACAAGATTCAACAATGCAGCAGCAATCAACTGACTCAACTACTTCTGAAACATCAACTGATGTACTTTCAAGTGTATCTAGTCAGTCTGTAGAAAGCACTGTACCAACATCTACAGTTACTGATACTGAGACTTTCTCCGAAGTGTCTTCAGTTTCATCAACATCTGCAGATATTGGAACAACCTTAGAAGCCTCAACTACATCTTCAACAATTGCTTCAACTGTCACTTTACAAGATTCAACAATGCAGCAGCAATCAACTGACTCAACTACTTCTGAAACATCAACTGATGTACTTTCAAGTGTATCTAGTCAGTCTGTAGAAAGCACTGTACCAACATCTACAGTTACTGATACTGAGACTTTCTCCGAAGTGTCTTCAGTTTCATCAACATCTGCAGATATTGGAACAACCTTAGAAGCCTCAACTACATCTTCAACAATTGCTTCAACTGTCACTTTACAAGATTCAACAATGCAGCAGCAATCAACTGACTCAACTACTTCTGAAACATCAACTGATGTACTTTCAAGTGTATCTAGTCAGTCTGTAGAAAGCACTGTACCAACATCTACAGTTACTGATACTGAGACTTTCTCCGAAGTGTCTTCAGTTTCATCAACATCTGCAGATATTGGAACAACCTTAGAAGCCTCAACTACATCTTCAACAATTGCTTCAACTGTCACTTTACAAGATTCAACAATGCAGCAGCAATCAACTGACTCAACTACTTCTGAAACATCAACTGATGTACTTTCAAGTGTATCTAGTCAGTCTGTAGAAAGCACTGTACCAACATCTACAGTTACTGATACTGAGACTTTCTCCGAAGTGTCTTCAGTTTCATCAACATCTGCAGATATTGGAACAACCTTAGAAGCCTCAACTTCATCTTCAACAATTGCTTCAACTGTCACTTTACAAGATTCAACAATGCAGCAGCAATCAACTGACTCAACTACTTCTGAAACATCAACTGATGTACTTTCAAGTGTATCTAGTCAGTCTGTAGAAAGCACTGTACCAACATCTACAGTTACTGATACTGAGACTTTCTCCGAAGTGTCTTCAGTTTCATCAACATCTGCAGATATTGGAACAACCTTAAAAGCCTCAACTACATCTTCAACAATTGCTTCAACTGTCACTTTACAAGATTCAACAATGCAGCAGCAATCAACTGACTCAAATACTTCTGAAACATCAACTGATGTACTTTCAAGTGTATCTAGTCAGTCTGTAAAAAGCAATGTACCAACATCTACAGGTACTGATACTGAGACTTTCTCCGAAGTGTCTTCAGTTTCATCAACATCTGCAAATATTGGAACAACCTTAGAAGCCTCAACTACATCTTCAACAATTGCTTCAACTGTCACTTTACAAGATTCAACAACGCAGCAGCAATCAACTGACTCAACTACTTCTGAAACATCAACTGATGTACTTTCAAGTGTATCTAGTCAGTCTGTAGAAAGCACTGTACCAACATCTACAGTTACTGATACTGAGACTTTCTCCGAAGTGTCTTCAGTTTCATCAACATCTGCAGATATTGGAACAACCTTAGAAGCCTCAACTACATTTTCAACAATTGCTTCAACTGTCACTTTACAAGATTCAACAATGCAGCAGCAATCAACTGACTTAACTACTTCTGAAATATCAACTGATGAACTTTCAACTTTGTCTATTCAGTCAGTGGAATGCACTGCAACAACATCTACAGTTACTGATACTGAGACTTTCTCCGAAGTGTCTTCAGTTTCATCAACATCTGCAGATATTGGAACAACCTTAGAAGCCTCAACTACATCTTCAACAATTGCTTCAACTGTCACTTTACAAGATTCAACAATGCAGCAGCAATCAACTGACTCAACTACTTCTGAAACATCAACTGATGTACTTTCAAGTGTATCTAGTCAGTCTGTAGAAAGCACTGTACCAACATCTACAGTTACTGATACTGAGACTTTCTCCGAAGTGTCTTCAGTTTCATCAACATCTGCAGATATTGGAACAACCTTAGAAGCCTCAAATACATCTTCAACAATTGCTTCAACTGTCACTTTACAAGATTCAACAATGCAGCAGCAATCAACTGACTCAACTACTTCTGAAACTTCAACTGATGTACTTTCAAGTGTATCTAGTCAGTCTATAGAAAGCACTGTACCAACATCTACAGTTACTGATACTGAGACTTTCTACGAAGTGTCTTCAGTTTCATCAACATCTGCAGATATTGGAACAACCTTAGAAGCCTCAACTACATCTTCAACAATTGCTTCAACTGTCACTTTACAAGATTCAACAATGCAGCAGCAATCAACTGACTCAACTACTTCTGAAACATCAACTGATGTATTTTCAAGTGTATCTAGTCAGTCTGTAGAAAGCACTGTACCAACATCTACAGTTACTGATACTGATACTTTCTCCAAAGTGTCTTCAGTTTCATCAACATCTGCAGATATTGGAACAACCTTAGAAGCCTCAACTACATCTTCAACAATTGCTTCAACTGTCACTTTACAAGATTCAACAATGCAGCAGCAATCAACTGACTCAACTACTTCTGAAACATCAACTGATGTACTTTCAACTTTGTCTATTCAGTCAGTGGAATGCACTGCAACAACATCTACAGTTACTGATACTGAGACTTTCTCCGATGTGTCTTCAGTTTCATCAACATCTGCAGATATTGGAACAACCTTAGAAGCCTCAACTACATCTTTAACAATTGCTTCAACTGTCACTTTACAAGATTCAACAATGCAGCAGCAATCAACTGACTCAACTACTTCTTTAACATCAACTGATGTACTTTCAAGTGTATCTAGTCAGTCTGTAGAAAGCACTGTACCAACATCTACAGTTACTGATACTGAGACTTTCTCCGAAGTGTCTTCAGTTTCATCAATATCTGCAGATATTGGAACAACCTTAGAAGCCTCAACTACATCTTCAACAATTGCTTCAACTGTCACTTTTCAAGATTCAACAATGCAGCAGCAATCAACTGACTCAACTACTTCTGAAACATCAACTGATGTACTTTCAAGTGTATCTAGTCAGTCTGTAGAAAGCACTGTACCAACATTTACAGTTACTGATACTGAGACTTTCTCCGAAGTGTCTTCAGTTTCATCAACATCTGCAGATATTGGAACAACCTTAGAAGCCTCAACTACATCTTCAACAATTGCTTCAACTGTCACTTTACAAGATTCAACAATGCAGCAGCAATCAACTGACTCAACTACTTCTAAAACATCAACTGATGTACTTTCAAGTGTATCTAGTCAGTCTGTAGAAAGCACTGTACCAACATCTACAGTTACTGATACTGAGACTTTCTCCGAAGTGTCTTCAGTTTCATCAACATCTGCAGATATTGGAACAACCTTAGAAGCCTCAACTACATCTTCAACAATTGCTTCAACTGTCACTTTACAAGATTCAACAATGCAGCAGCAATCAACTGACTCAACTACTTCTAAAACATCAACTGATGTACTTTCAAGTGTATCTAGTCAGTCTGTAGAAAGCACTGTACCAACATCTACAGTTACTGATACTGAGACTTTCTCCGAAGTGTCTTCAGTTTCATCAACATCTGCAGATATTGGAACAACCTTAGAAGCCTCAACTACATCTTTAACAATTGCTTCAACTGTCACTTTACAAGATTCAACAATGCAGCAGCAATCAACTGACTCAACTACTTCTGAAACATCAACTGATGTACTTTCAAGTGTATCTAGTCAGTCTGTAGAAAGCACTGTACCAACATCTACAGTTACTGATACTGAGACTTTCTCCGAAGTGTCTTCAGTTTTATCAACATCTGCAGATATTGGAACAACCTTAGAAGCCTCAACTACATCTTCAACAATTGCTTCAACTGTCACTTTTCAAGATTCAACAATGCAGCAGCAATCAACTGACTCAACTACTTCTGAAACATCAACTGATGTACTTTCAAGTGTATCTAGTCAGTCTGTAGAAAGCACTGTACCAACATTTACAGTTACTGATACTGAGACTTTCTCCGAAGTGTCTTCAGTTTCATCAACATCTGCAGATATTGGAACAACCTTAGAAGCCTCAACTACATCTTCAACAATTGCTTCAACTGTCACTTTACAAGATTCAACAATGCAGCAGCAATCAACTGACTCAACTACTTCTAAAACATCAACTGATGTACTTTCAAGTGTATCTAGTCAGTCTGTAGAAAGCACTGTACCAACATCTACAGTTACTGATACTGAGACTTTCTCCGAAGTGTCTTCAGTTTCATCAACATCTGCAGATATTGGAACAACCTTAGAAGCCTCAACTACATCTTCAACAATTGCTTCAACTGTCACTTTACAAGATTCAACAATGCAGCAGCAATCAACTGACTCAACTACTTCTAAAACATCAACTGATGTACTTTCAAGTGTATCTAGTCAGTCTGTAGAAAGCACTGTACCAACATCTAAAGTTACTGATACTGAGACTTTCTCCGAAGTGTCTTCAGTTTCATCAACATCTGCAGATATTGGAACAACCTTAGAAGCCTCAACTACATCTTCAACAATTGCTTCAACTGTCACTTTACAAGATTCAACAATGCAGCAGCAATCAACTGACTCAACTACTTCTGAAACATCAACTGATGTACTTTCAAGTGTATCTAGTCAGTCTGTAGAAAGCACTGTACCAACATCTACAGTTACTGATACTGAGACTTTCTCCGAAGTGTCTTCAGTTTCATCAACATCTGCAGATATTGGAACAACCTTAGAAGCCTCAACTACATCTTCAACAATTGCTTCAACTGTCACTTTACAAGATTCAACAATGCAGCAGCAATCAACTGACTCAACTACTTCTGAAACATCAACTGATGTACTTTCAAGTGTATCTAGTCAGTCTGTAGAAAGCACTGTACCAACATCTACAGTTACTGATACTGAGACTTTCTCCGAAGTGTCTTCAGTTTCATCAACATCTGCAGATATTGGAACAACCTTAGAAGCCTCAACTACATCTTCAACAATTGCTTCAACTGTCACTTTACAAGATTCAACAATGCAGCAGCAATCAACTGACTCAACTACTTCTGAAAGATCAACTGTTGTACTTTCAAGTGTATCTAGTCAGTCTGTAGAAAGCACTGTACCAACATCTACAGTTACTGATACTGAGACTTTCTCCGAAGTGTCTTCAGTTTCATCAACATCTGCAGATATTGGAACAACCTTAGAAGCCTCAACTACATCTTCAACAATTGCTTCAACTGTCACTTTACAAGATTCAACAATGCAGCAGCAATCAACTGACTCAACTACTTCTGAAACATCAACTGATGTACTTTCAAGTGTATCTAGTCAGTCTGTAGAAAGCACTGTACCAACATCTACAGTTACTGATACTGAGACTTTCTCCGAAGTGTCTTCAGTTTCATCAACATCTGCAGATATTGGAACAACCTTAGAAGCCTCAACTACATCTTCAACAATTGCTTCAACTGTCACTTTACAAGATTCAACAATGCAGCAGCAATCAACTGACTCAACTACTTCTGAAACATCAACTGATGTACTTTCAAGTGTATCTAGTCAGTCTGTAGAAAACACTGTACCAACATCTACAGTTACTAATACTGAGACTTTCTCTGAAGTGTCTTCAGTTTCATCAACATCTGCAGATATTGGAACAACCTTAGAAGCCTCAACTACATCTTCAACAATTGCTTCAACTGTCACTTTACAAGATTCAACAATGCAGCAGCAATCAACTGACTCAACTACTTCTGAAACATCAACTGATGTACTTTCAAGTGTATCTAGTCAGTCTGTAGAAAGCACTGTACCAACATCTACAGTTACTGATACTGAGACTTTCTCCGAAGTGTCTTCAGTTTCATCAACATCTGCAGATATTGGAACAACCTTAGAAGCCTCAACTACATCTTCAACAATTGCTTCAACTGTCACTTTACAAGATTCAACAATGCAGCAACAATCAACTGACTCAACTACTTCTGAAAGATCAACTGTTGTACTTTCAAGTGTATCTAGTCAGTCTGTAGAAAGCACTGTACCAACATCTACAGGTACTGATACTGAGACTTTCTCCGAAGTGTCTTCAGTTTCATCAACATCTGCAGATATTGGAACAATCTTAGAAGCTTCAACTACATCTTCAACAATTGCTTCAACTGTCACTTTACAAGATTCAACAATGCAGCAGCAATCAACTGACTCAACTACTTCTGAAACATCAACTGATGTACTTTTAAGTGTATCTAGTCAGTCTGTAGAAAGCACTGTACCAACATCTACAGTTACTGATACTGAGACTTTCTCCGAAGTGTCTTCAGTTTCATCAACATCTGCAGATATTGGAACAACCTTAGAAGCCTCAACTACATCTTCAACAATTGCTTCAACTGTCACTTTACAAGATTTAACAATGCAGCAGCAATCAACTGACTCAACTACTTCTGAAACATCAACTGATGTACTTTCAAGTGTATCTAGTCAGTCTGTAGAAAGCACTGTACCAACATCTACAGTTACTGATACTGAGACTTTCTCCGAAGTGTCTTCAGTTTCATCAACATCTGCAGATATTGGAACAACCTTAGAAGCCTCAACTACATCTTTAACAATTGCTTCAACTGTCACTTTACAAGATTCAACAATGCAGCAGCAATCAACTGACTCAACTACTTCTGAAACATCAACTGATGTACTTTCAAGTGTATCTAGTCAGTCTGTAGAAAGCACTGTACCAACATCTACAGTTACTGATACTGAGACTTTCTCCGAAGTGTCTTCAGTTTCATCAACATCTGCAGATATTGGAACAACCTTAGATGCCTCAACTACATCTTCAACAATTGCTTCAACTGTCACTTTACAAGATTCAACAATGCAGCAGCAATCAACTGACTCAACTACTTCTGAAACATCAACTGATGTACTTTCAAGTGTATCTAGTCAGTCTGTAGAAAGCACTGTACCAACATCTACAGTTACTGATACTGAGACTTTCTCCGAAGTGTCTTCAGTTTTATCAACATCTGCAGATATTGGAACAACCTTAAAAGCCACAACTACATCTTCAACAATTGCTTCAACTGTCACTTTACAAGATTCAACAATGCAGCAGCAATCAACTGACTCAACTACTTCTGAAACATCAACTGATGTACTTTCAAGTGTATCTAGTCAGTCTGTAGAAAGCACTGTACCAACATCTACAGTTACTGATACTGAGACTTTCTCCGAAGTGTCTTCAGTTTCATCAACATCTGCAGATATTGGAACAACCTTAGAAGCCTCAACTACATCTTCAACAATTGCTTCAACTGTCACTTTACAAGATTTAACAATGCAGCAGCAATCAACTGACTCAACTACTTCTGAAACATCAACTGATGTACTTTCAAGTGTATCTAGTCAGTCTGTAGAAAGCACTGTACCAACATCTACAGTTACTGATACTGAGACTTTCTCCGAAGTGTCTTCAGTTTCATCAACATCTGCAGATATTGGAACAACCTTAGAAGCCTCAACTACATCTTTAACAATTGCTTCAACTGTCACTTTACAAGATTCAACAATGCAGCAGCAATCAACTGACTCAACTACTTCTAAAACATCAACTGATGTACTTTCAAGTGTATCTAGTCAGTCTGTAGAAAGCACTGTACCAACATCTACAGTTACTGATACTGAGACTTTCTCCGAAGTGTCTTCAGTTTCATCAACATCTGCAGATATTGGAACAACCTTAGAAGCCTCAACTACATCTTCAACAATTGCTTCAACTGTCACTTTACAAGATTCAACAATGCAGCAGCAATCAACTGACTCAACTACTTCTAAAACATCAACTGATGTACTTTCAAGTGTATCTAGTCAGTCTGTAGAAAGCACTGTACCAACATCTAAAGTTACTGATACTGAGACTTTCTCCGAAGTGTCTTCAGTTTCATCAACATCTGCAGATATTGGAACAACCTTAGAAGCCTCAACTACATCTTCAACAATTGCTTCAACTGTCACTTTACAAGATTCAACAATGCAGCAGCAATCAACTGACTCAACTACTTCTGAAACATCAACTGATGTACTTTCAAGTGTATCTAGTCAGTCTGTAGAAAGCACTGTACCAACATCTACAGTTACTGATACTGAGACTTTCTCCGAAGTGTCTTCAGTTTCATCAACATCTGCAGATATTGGAACAACCTTAGAAGCCTCAACTACATCTTCAACAATTGCTTCAACTGTCACTTTACAAGATTCAACAATGCAGCAGCAATCAACTGACTCAACTACTTCTGAAACATCAACTGATGTACTTTCAAGTGTATCTAGTCAGTCTGTAGAAAGCACTGTACCAACATCTACAGTTACTGATACTGAGACTTTCTCCGAAGTGTCTTCAGTTTCATCAACATCTGCAGATATTGGAACAACCTTAGAAGCCTCAACTACATCTTCAACAATTGCTTCAACTGTCACTTTACAAGATTCAACAATGCAGCAGCAATCAACTGACTCAACTACTTCTGAAAGATCAACTGTTGTACTTTCAAGTGTATCTAGTCAGTCTGTAGAAAGCACTGTACCAACATCTACAGTTACTGATACTGAGACTTTCTCCGAAGTGTCTTCAGTTTCATCAACATCTGCAGATATTGGAACAACCTTAGAAGCCTCAACTACATCTTCAACAATTGCTTCAACTGTCACTTTACAAGATTCAACAATGCAGCAGCAATCAACTGACTCAACTACTTCTGAAACATCAACTGATGTACTTTCAAGTGTATCTAGTCAGTCTGTAGAAAGCACTGTACCAACATCTACAGTTACTGATACTGAGACTTTCTCCGAAGTGTCTTCAGTTTCATCAACATCTGCAGATATTGGAACAACCTTAGAAGCCTCAACTACATCTTCAACAATTGCTTCAACTGTCACTTTACAAGATTCAACAATGCAGCAGCAATCAACTGACTCAACTACTTCTGAAACATCAACTGATGTACTTTCAAGTGTATCTAGTCAGTCTGTAGAAAACACTGTACCAACATCTACAGTTACTAATACTGAGACTTTCTCTGAAGTGTCTTCAGTTTCATCAACATCTGCAGATATTGGAACAACCTTAGAAGCCTCAACTACATCTTCAACAATTGCTTCAACTGTCACTTTACAAGATTCAACAATGCAGCAGCAATCAACTGACTCAACTACTTCTGAAACATCAACTGATGTACTTTCAAGTGTATCTAGTCAGTCTGTAGAAAGCACTGTACCAACATCTACAGTTACTGATACTGAGACTTTCTCCGAAGTGTCTTCAGTTTCATCAACATCTGCAGATATTGGAACAACCTTAGAAGCCTCAACTACATCTTCAACAATTGCTTCAACTGTCACTTTACAAGATTCAACAATGCAGCAACAATCAACTGACTCAACTACTTCTGAAAGATCAACTGTTGTACTTTCAAGTGTATCTAGTCAGTCTGTAGAAAGCACTGTACCAACATCTACAGGTACTGATACTGAGACTTTCTCCGAAGTGTCTTCAGTTTCATCAACATCTGCAGATATTGGAACAATCTTAGAAGCTTCAACTACATCTTCAACAATTGCTTCAACTGTCACTTTACAAGATTCAACAATGCAGCAGCAATCAACTGACTCAACTACTTCTGAAACATCAACTGATGTACTTTTAAGTGTATCTAGTCAGTCTGTAGAAAGCACTGTACCAACATCTACAGTTACTGATACTGAGACTTTCTCCGAAGTGTCTTCAGTTTCATCAACATCTGCAGATATTGGAACAACCTTAGAAGCCTCAACTACATCTTCAACAATTGCTTCAACTGTCACTTTACAAGATTTAACAATGCAGCAGCAATCAACTGACTCAACTACTTCTGAAACATCAACTGATGTACTTTCAAGTGTATCTAGTCAGTCTGTAGAAAGCACTGTACCAACATCTACAGTTACTGATACTGAGACTTTCTCCGAAGTGTCTTCAGTTTCATCAACATCTGCAGATATTGGAACAACCTTAGAAGCCTCAACTACATCTTTAACAATTGCTTCAACTGTCACTTTACAAGATTCAACAATGCAGCAGCAATCAACTGACTCAACTACTTCTGAAACATCAACTGATGTACTTTCAAGTGTATCTAGTCAGTCTGTAGAAAGCACTGTACCAACATCTACAGTTACTGATACTGAGACTTTCTCCGAAGTGTCTTCAGTTTCATCAACATCTGCAGATATTGGAACAACCTTAGATGCCTCAACTACATCTTCAACAATTGCTTCAACTGTCACTTTACAAGATTCAACAATGCAGCAGCAATCAACTGACTCAACTACTTCTGAAACATCAACTGATGTACTTTCAAGTGTATCTAGTCAGTCTGTAGAAAGCACTGTACCAACATCTACAGTTACTGATACTGAGACTTTCTCCGAAGTGTCTTCAGTTTTATCAACATCTGCAGATATTGGAACAACCTTAAAAGCCACAACTACATCTTCAACAATTGCTTCAACTGTCACTTTACAAGATTCAACAATGCAGCAGCAATCAACTGACTCAACTACTTCTGAAACATCAACTGATGTACTTTCAAGTGTATCTAGTCAGTCTGTAGAAAGCACTGTACCAACATCTACAGTTACTGATACTGAGACTTTCTCCGAAGTGTCTTCAGTTTCATCAACATCTGCAGATATTGGAACAACCTTAGAAGCCTCAACTACATCTTCAACAATTGCTTCAACTGTCACTTTACAAGATTCAACAATGCAGCAGCAATCAACTGACTCAACTACTTCTGAAACATCAACTGATGTACTTTCAAGTGTATCTAGTCAGTCTGTAGAAAGCACTGTACCAACATCTACAGTTACTGATACTGAGACTTTCTCCGAAGTGTCTTCAGTTTCATCAACATCTGCAGATATTGGAACAATCTTAGAAGCTTCAACTACATCTTCAACAATTGCTTCAACTGTCACTTTACAAGATTCAACAATGCAGCAGCAATCAACTGACTCAACTACTTCTGAAACATCAACTGATGTACTTTCAAGTGTATCTAGTCAGTCTGTAGAAAGCACTGTACCAACATCTACAGTTACTGATACTGAGACTTTCTCCGAAGTGTCTTCAGTTTCATCAACATCTGCAGATATTGGAACAACCTTAGAAGCCTCAACTACATCTTCAACAATTGCTTCAACTGTCACTTTACAAGATTCAACAATGCAGCAGCAATCAACTGACTCAACTACTTCTGAAACATCAACTGATGTACTTTCAAGTGTATCTAGTCAGTCTGTAGAAAGCACTGGACCAACATCTACAGTTACTGATACTGAGACTTTCTCCGAAGTGTCTTCAGTTTCATCAACATCTGCAGATATTGGAACAACCTTAGAAGCCTCAACTACATCTTCAACAATTGCTTCAACTGTCACTTTACAAGATTCAACAATGCAGCAGCAATCAACTGACTCAACTACTTCTGAAACATCAACTGATGTACTTTCAAGTGTATCTAGTCAGTCTGTAGAAAGCACTGTACCAACATCTACAGTTACTGATACTCAGACTTTCTCCGAAGTGTCTTCAGTTTCATCAACATCTGCAGATATTGGAACAACCTTAGAAGCCTTAACTACATCTTCAACAATTGCTTCAACTGTCACTTTACAAGATTCAACAATGCAGCAGCAATCAACTGACTCAACTACTTCTGAAACATCAACTGATGTACTTTCAAGTGTATCTAGTCAGTCTGTAGAAAGCACTGTACCAACATCTACAGTTACTGATACTGAGACTTTCTCCGAAGTGTCTTCAGTTTCATCAACATCTGCAGATATTGGAACAACCTTAGATGCCTCAACTACTTCTTCAACAATTGCTTCAACTGTCACTTTACAAGATTCAACAATGCAGCAGCAATCAACTGACTCAACTACTTCTGAAAGATCAACTGATGTACTTTCAAGTGTATCTAGTCAGTCTGTAGAAAGCACTGTACCAACATCTACAGTTACTGATACTGAGACTTTCTCCGAAGTGTCTTCAGTTTTATCAACATCTGCAGATATTGGAACAACCTTAAAAGCCTCAACTACATCTTCAACAATTGCTTCAACTGTCACTTTACAAGATTCAACAATGCAGCAGCAATCAACTGACTCAACTACTTCTGAAACATCAACTGATGTACTTTCAAGTGTATCTAGTCAGTCTGTAGAAAGCACTGTACCAACATCTACAGTTACTGATACTGAGACTTTCTCCGAAGTGTCTTCAGTTTCATCAACATCTGCAGATATTGGAACAACCTTAGAAGCCTCAACTACATCTTCAACAATTGCTTCAACTGTCACTTTACAAGATTCAACAATGCAGCAGCAATCAACTGACTCAACTACTTCTGAAACATCAACTGATGTACTTTCAAGTGTATCTAGTCAGTCTGTAGAAAGCACTGTACCAACATCTACAGTTACTGATACTGAGACTTTCTCCGAAGTGTCTTCAGTTTCATCAACATCTGCAGATATTGGAACAACCTTAGAAGCCTCAACTACATCTTCAACAATTGCTTCAACTGTCACTTTACAAGATTCAACAATGCAGCAGCAATCAACTGACTCAACTACTTCTGAAACATCAACTGATGTACTTTCAAGTGTATCTAGTCAGTCTGTGGAAAGCACTGTACCAACATCTACAGTTACTGATACTGAGACTTTCTCCGAAGTGTCTTCAGTTTCATCAACATCTGCAGATATTGGAACAACCTTAGAAGCCTCAACTACATCTTCAACAATTGCTTCAACTGTCACTTTACAAGATTCAACAATTCAGCAGCAATCAACTGACTCAACTACTTCTGAAACATCAACTGATGTACTTTCAAGTGTATCTAGTCAGTCTGTAGAAAGCACTGTACCAACATCTACAGTTACTGATACTGAGACTTTCTCCGAAGTGTCTTCAGTTTCATCAACATCTGCAGATATTGGAACAACCTTAGAAGCATTAACTACATCTTCAACAATTGCTTCAACTGTCACTTTACAAGATTCAACAATGCAGCAGCAATCAACTGACTCAACTACTTCTGAAACATCAACTGATGTACTTTTAAGTGTATCTAGTCAGTCTATAGAAAGCACTGCACCAACATCTACAGTTACTGATACTGAAACTTTCTCCGAAGTGTCTTCAGTTTCATCAACATCTGCAGATATTGGAACAACCTTAGAAGCCTCAACTACATCTTCAACAATTGCTTCAACTGTCACTTTACAAGAATCAACAATGCAGCAGCAATCAACTGACTCAACTACTTCTGAAACATCAACTGATGTACTTTCAAGTGTATCTAGTCAGTCTGTAGAAAGCACTGTACCAACATCTACAGTTACTGATACTGATTTTTTCTCTGAAGTGTCTTCAGTTTCATCAACATCTGCAGATATTGGAACAACCTTAGAAGCCTCAACTACATCTTCAACAATTGCTTCAACTGTCACTTTACAAGATTCAACAATGCAGCAGCAATCAACTGACTCAACTACTTCTGAAACATCAACTGATGTACTTTCAAGTGTATCTAGTCAGTCTGTAGAAAGCACTGTACCAACATCTACAGTTACTGATACTGAGACTTTCTCCAAAGTGTCTTCAGTTTCATCAACATCTGCAGATATTGGAACAACCTTAGAAGCCTCAACTACATCTTCAACAATTGCTTCAACTGTCACTTTACAAGATTCAACAATGCAGCAGCAATCAACTGACTCAACTACTTCTGAAACATCAACTGATGTACTTTCAACTTTGTCTATTCAGTCAGTGGAATGCACTGCAACAACATCTACAGTTACTGATACTGAGACTTTCTCCGAAGTGTCTTCAGTTTCATCAACATCTGCAGATATTGGAACAACCTTAGAAGCCTCAACTACATCTTCAACAATTGCTTCAACTGTCATTTTACAAGATTCAACAATGCAGCAGCAATCAACTGACTCAACTACTTCTGAAACATCAACTGATGTACTTTCAAGTGTATCTAGTCAGTCTGTAGAAAGCACTGTACCAACATCTACAGTTACTGATACTGAGACTTTCTCTGAAGTGTCTTCAGTTTCATCAACATCTGCAGATATTGGAACAACCTTAGAAGCCTTAACTACATCTTCAACAATTGCTTCAACTGTCACTTTACAAGATTCAACAATGCAGCAGCAATCAACTGACTCAACTACTTCTGAAAGATCAACTGATGTACTTTCAAGTGTATCTAGTCAGTCTGTAGAATGCACTGTACCAACATCTACAGTTACTGATACTGAGACTTTCTCTGAAGTGTCTTCAGTTTTATCAACATCTGCAGATATTGGAACAACCTTAAAAGCCTTAACTACATCTTCAACAATTGCTTCAACTGTCACTTTACAAGATTCAACAATGCAGCAGCAATCAACTGACTCAACTACTTCTGAAACATCAACTGATGTACTTTCAAGTGTATCTAGTCAGTCTGTAGAAAGCACTGTACCAATATCTACAGTTACTGATACTGAGACTTTCTCCGAAGTGTCTTCAGTTTCATCAACATCTGCAGATATTGGAACAACCTTAGAAGCCTCAACTACATCTTCAACAATTGCTTCAACTGTCACTTTACAAGATTCAACAATGCAGCAGCAATCAACTGACTCAACTACTTCTGAAACATCAACTGATGTACTTTCAAGTGTATCTAGTCAGTCTGTAGAAAGCACTGTACCAACATCTACAGTTACTGATCCTGAGACTTTCTCCGAAGTGTCTTTAGTTTCATCAACATCTGCAGATATTGGAACAACCTTAGAAGCCTCAACTACATCTTCAACAATTGCTTCAACTGTCACTTTACAAGATTCAACAATGCAGCAGCAATCAACTGACTCAACTACTTCTGAAACATCAACTGATGTACTTTCAAGTGTATCTAGTCAGTCTGTGGAAAGCACTGTACCAACATCTACAGTTACTGATACTGAGACTTTCTCCGAAGTGTCTTCAGTTTCATCAACATCTGCAGATATTGGAACAACCTTAGAAGCCTCAACTACATCTTCAACAATTGCTTCAACTGTCACTTTACAAGATTCAACAATTCAGCAGCAATCAACTGACTCAACTACTTCTGAAACATCAACTGATGTACTTTCAAGTGTATCTAGTCAGTCTGTAGAAAGCACTGTACCAATATCTACAGTTACTGATACTGAGACTTTCTCCGAAGTGTCTTCAGTTTCATCAACATCTGCAGATATTGGAACAACCTTAGAAGCCTCAACTACATCTTCAACAATTGCTTCAACTGTCACTTTACAAGATTCAACAATGCAGCAGCAATCAACTGACTCAACTACTTCTGAAACATCAACTGATGTACTTTCAAGTGTATCTAGTCAGTCTGTAGAAAGCACTGTACCAACATCTACAGTTACTGATCCTGAGACTTTCTCCGAAGTGTTTTTAGTTTCATCAACATCTGCAGATATTGGAACAACCTTAGAAGCCTCAACTACATCTTCAACAATTGCTTCAACTGTCACTTTACAAGATTCAACAATGCAGCAGCAATCAACTGACTCAACTACTTCTGAAACATCAACTGATGTACTTTCAAGTGTATCTAGTCAGTCTGTGGAAAGCACTGTACCAACATCTACAGTTACTGATACTGAGACTTTCTCCGAAGTGTCTTCAGTTTCATCAACATCTGCAGATATTGGAACAACCTTAGAAGCCTCAACTACATCTTCAACAATTGCTTCAACTGTCACTTTACAAGATTCAACAATTCAGCAGCAATCAACTGACTCAACTACTTCTGAAACATCAACTGATGTACTTTCAAGTGTATCTAGTCAGTCTGTAGAAAGCACTGTACCAACATCTACAGTTACTGATACTGAGACTTTCTCCGAAGTGTCTTCAGTTTCATCAACATCTGCAGATATTGGAACAACCTTAGAAGCATTAACTACATCTTCAACAATTGCTTCAACTGTCACTTTACAAGATTCAACAATGCAGCAGCAATCAACTGACTCAACTACTTCTGAAACATCAACTGATGTACTTTTAAGTGTATCTAGTCAGTCTATAGAAAGCACTGTACCAACATCTACAGTTACTGATACTGAAACTTTCTCCGAATTGTCTTCAGTTTCATCAACATCTGCAGATATTGGAACAACCTTAGAAGCCTCAACTACATCTTCAACAATTGCTTCAACTGTCACTTTACAAGAATCAACAATGCATCAGCAATCAACTGACTCAACTACTTCTGAAACATCAACTGATGTACTTTCAAGTGTATCTAGTCAGTCTGTAGAAAGCACTGTACCAACATCTACAGTTACTGATACTGATTTTTTCTCTGAAGTGTCTTCAGTTTCATCAACATCTGCAGATATTGGAACAACCTTAGAAGCCTCAACTACATCTTCAACAATTGCTTCAACTGTCACTTTACAAGATTCAACAATGCAGCAGCAATCAACTGACTCAACTACTTCTGAAACATCAACTGATGTACTTTCAACTTTGTCTATTCAGTCAGTGGAATGCACTGCAACAACATCTACAGTTACTGATACTGAGACTTTCTTCGAAGTGTCTTCAGTTTCATCAACATCTGCAGATATTGGAACAACCTTAGAAGCCTCAACTACATCTTCAACAATTGCTTCAACTGTCACTTTACAAGATTCAACAATGCAGCAGCAATCAACTGACTCAACTACTTCTGAAACATCAACTGATGTACTTTCAAGTGTATCTAGTCAGTCTGTAGAAAGCACTGTACCAACATCTACAGTTACTGATACTGAGACTTTCTCCGAAGTGTCTTCAGTTTCATCAACATCTGCAGATATTGGAACAACCTTAGAAGCCTCAACTACATCTTCAACAATTGCTTCAACTGTCACTTTACAAGATTCAACAATGCAGCAGCAATCAACTGACTCAACTACTTCTGAAACATCAACTGATGTACTTTCAAGTGTATCTAGTCAGTCTGTAGAAAGCACTGGACCAACATCTACAGTTACTGATACTGAGACTTTCTCCGAAGTGTCTTCAGTTTCATCAACATCTGCAGATATTGGAACAACCTTAGAAGCCTCAACTACATCTTCAACAATTGCTTCAACTGTCACTTTACAAGATTCAACAATGCAGCAGCAATCAACTGACTCAACTACTTCTGAAACATCAACTGATGTACTTTCAAGTGTATCTAGTCAGTCTGTAGAAAGCACTGTACCAACATCTACAGTTACTGATACTGATACTTTCTCCGAAGTGTCTTCAGTTTCATCAACATCTGCAGATATTGGAACAACCTTAGAAGCCTCAACTACATCTTCAACAATTGCTTCAACTGTCACTTTACAAGATTCAACAATGCAGCAGCAATCAACTGACTCAACTACTTCTGAAACATCAACTGATGTACTTTCAAGTGTATCTAGTCAGTCTGTAGAAAGCACTGTACCAACATCTACAGTTACTGATACTGAGACTTTCTCCGAAGTGTCTTCAGTTTCATCAACATCTGCAGATATTGGAACAACCTTAGAAGCCTCAACTACATCTTCAACAATTGCTTCAACTGTCACTTTACAAGATTCAACAATGCAGCAGCAATCAACTGACTCAACTACTTCTGAAACATCAACTGATGTACTTTCAAGTGTATCTAGTCAGTCTGTAGAAAGCACTGTACCAACATCTACAGTTACTGATACTGATACTTTCTCCGAAGTGTCTTCAGTTTCATCAACATCTGCAGATATTGGAACAACCTTAGAAGCCTCAACTACATCTTCAACAATTGCTTCAACTGTCACTTTACAAGATTCAACAATGCAGCAGCAATCAACTGACTCAACTACTTCTGAAACATCAACTGATGTACTTTCAAGTGTATCTAGTCAGTCTGTAGAAAGCACTGTACCAACATCTACAGTTACTGATACTGAGACTTTCTCCGAAGTGTCTTCAGTTTCATCAACATCTGCAGATATTGGAACAACCTTAGAAGCCTCAACTACATCTTCAACAATTGCTTCAACTGTCACTTTACAAGATTCAACAATGCAGCAGCAATCAACTGACTCAACTACTTCTGAAACATCAACTGATGTACTTTCAAGTGTATCTAGTCAGTCTGTAGAAAGCACTGGACCAACATCTACAGTTACTGATACTGAGACTTTCTCCGAAGTGTCTTCAGTTTCATCAACATCTGCAGATATTGGAACAACCTTAGAAGCCTCAACTACATCTTCAACAATTGCTTCAACTGTCACTTTACAAGATTCAACAATGCAGCAGCAATCAACTGACTCAACTACTTCTGAAACATCAACTGATGTACTTTCAAGTGTATCTAGTCAGTCTGTAGAAAGCACTGTACCAACATCTACAGTTACTGATACTGAGACTTTCTCCAAAGTGTCTTCAGTTTCATCAACATCTGCAGATATTGGAACAACCTTAGAAGCCTCAACTACATCTTCAACAATTGCTTCAACTGTCACTTTACAAGATTCAACAATGCAGCAGCAATCAACTGACTCAACTACTTCTGAAACATCAACTGATGTACTTTCAACTTTGTCTATTCAGTCAGTGGAATGCACTGCAACAACATCTACAGTTACTGATACTGAGACTTTCTCCGAAGTGTCTTCAGTTTCATCAACATCTGCAGATATTGGAACAACCTTAGAAGCCTCAACTACATCTTCAACAATTGCTTCAACTGTCATTTTACAAGATTCAACAATGCAGCAGCAATCAACTGACTCAACTACTTCTGAAACATCAACTGATGTACTTTCAAGTGTATCTAGTCAGTCTGTAGAAAGCACTGTACCAACATCTACAGTTACTGATACTGAGACTTTCTCTGAAGTGTCTTCAGTTTCATCAACATCTGCAGATATTGGAACAACCTTAGAAGCCTTAACTACATCTTCAACAATTGCTTCAACTGTCACTTTACAAGATTCAACAATGCAGCAGCAATCAACTGACTCAACTACTTCTGAAAGATCAACTGATGTACTTTCAAGTGTATCTAGTCAGTCTGTAGAAAGCACTGTACCAACATCTACAGTTACTGATACTGAGACTTTCTCCGAAGTGTCTTCAGTTTTATCAACATCTGCAGATATTGGAACAACCTTAAAAGCCTCAACTACATCTTCAACAATTGCTTCAACTGTCACTTTACAAGATTCAACAATGCAGCAGCAATCAACTGACTCAACTACTTCTGAAACATCAACTGATGTACTTTCAAGTGTATCTAGTCAGTCTGTAGAAAGCACTGTACCAATATCTACAGTTACTGATACTGAGACTTTCTCCGAAGTGTCTTCAGTTTCATCAACATCTGCAGATATTGGAACAACCTTAGAAGCCTCAACTACATCTTCAACAATTGCTTCAACTGTCACTTTACAAGATTCAACAATGCAGCAGCAATCAACTGACTCAACTACTTCTGAAACATCAACTGATGTACTTTCAAGTGTATCTAGTCAGTCTGTAGAAAGCACTGTACCAACATCTACAGTTACTGATCCTGAGACTTTCTCCGAAGTGTCTTCAGTTTCATCAACATCTGCAGATATTGGAACAACCTTAGAAGCCTCAACTACATCTTCAACAATTGCTTCAACTGTCACTTTACAAGATTCAACAATGCAGCAGCAATCAACTGACTCAACTACTTCTGAAACATCAACTGATGTACTTTCAAGTGTATCTAGTCAGTCTGTGGAAAGCACTGTACCAACATCTACAGTTACTGATACTGAGACTTTCTCCGAAGTGTCTTCAGTTTCATCAACATCTGCAGATATTGGAACAACCTTAGAAGCCTCAACTACATCTTCAACAATTGCTTCAACTGTCACTTTACAAGATTCAACAATTCAGCAGCAATCAACTGACTCAACTACTTCTGAAACATCAACTGATGTACTTTCAAGTGTATCTAGTCAGTCTGTAGAAAGCACTGTACCAACATCTACAGTTACTGATACTGAGACTTTCTCCGAAGTGTCTTCAGTTTCATCAACATCTGCAGATATTGGAACAACCTTAGAAGCATTAACTACATCTTCAACAATTGCTTCAACTGTCACTTTACAAGATTCAACAATGCAGCAGCAATCAACTGACTCAACTACTTCTGAAACATCAACTGATGTACTTTTAAGTGTATCTAGTCAGTCTATAGAAAGCACTGTACCAACATCTACAGTTACTGATACTGAAACTTTCTCCGAAGTGTCTTCAGTTTCATCAACATCTGCAGATATTGGAACAACCTTAGAAGCCTCAACTACATCTTCAACAATTGCTTCAACTGTCACTTTACAAGAATCAACAATGCATCAGCAATCAACTGACTCAACTACTTCTGAAACATCAACTGATGTACTTTCAAGTGTATCTAGTCAGTCTGTAGAAAGCACTGTACCAACATCTACAGTTACTGATACTGATTTTTTCTCTGAAGTGTCTTCAGTTTCATCAACATCTGCAGATATTGGAACAACCTTAGAAGCCTCAACTACATCTTCAACAATTGCTTCAACTGTCACTTTACAAGATTCAACAATGCAGCAGCAATCAACTGACTCAACTACTTCTGAAACATCAACTGATGTACTTTCAACTTTGTCTATTCAGTCAGTGGAATGCACTGCAACAACATCTACAGTTACTGATACTGAGACTTTCTTCGAAGTGTCTTCAGTTTCATCAACATCTGCAGATATTGGAACAACCTTAGAAGCCTCAACTACATCTTCAACAATTGCTTCAACTGTCACTTTACAAGATTCAACAATGCAGCAGCAATCAACTGACTCAACTACTTCTGAAACATCAACTGATGTACTTTCAAGTGTATCTAGTCAGTCTGTAGAAAGCACTGTACCAACATCTACAGTTACTGATACTGAGACTTTCTCCGAAGTGTCTTCAGTTTCATCAACATCTGCAGATATTGGAACAACCTTAGAAGCCTCAACTACATCTTCAACAATTGCTTCAACTGTCACTTTACAAGATTCAACAATGCAGCAGCAATCAACTGACTCAACTACTTCTGAAACATCAACTGATGTACTTTCAAGTGTATCTAGTCAGTCTGTAGAAAGCACTGGACCAACATCTACAGTTACTGATACTGAGACTTTCTCCGAAGTGTCTTCAGTTTCATCAACATCTGCAGATATTGGAACAACCTTAGAAGCCTCAACTACATCTTCAACAATTGCTTCAACTGTCACTTTACAAGATTCAACAATGCAGCAGCAATCAACTGACTCAACTACTTCTGAAACATCAACTGATGTACTTTCAAGTGTATCTAGTCAGTCTGTAGAAAGCACTGTACCAACATCTACAGTTACTGATACTGATACTTTCTCCGAAGTGTCTTCAGTTTCATCAACATCTGCAGATATTGGAACAACCTTAGAAGCCTCAACTACATCTTCAACAATTGCTTCAACTGTCACTTTACAAGATTCAACAATGCAGCAGCAATCAACTGACTCAACTACTTCTGAAACATCAACTGATGTACTTTCAAGTGTATCTAGTCAGTCTGTAGAAAGCACTGTACCAACATCTACAGTTACTGATACTGAGACTTTCTCCGAAGTGTCTTCAGTTTCATCAACATCTGCAGATATTGGAACAACCTTAGAAGCCTCAACTACATCTTCAACAATTGCTTCAACTGTCACTTTACAAGATTCAACAATGCAGCAGCAATCAACTGACTCAACTACTTCTGAAACATCAACTGATGTACTTTCAAGTGTATCTAGTCAGTCTGTAGAAAGCACTGTACCAACATCTACAGTTACTGATACTGATACTTTCTCCGAAGTGTCTTCAGTTTCATCAACATCTGCAGATATTGGAACAACCTTAGAAGCCTCAACTACATCTTCAACAATTGCTTCAACTGTCACTTTACAAGATTCAACAATGCAGCAGCAATCAACTGACTCAACTACTTCTGAAACATCAACTGATGTACTTTCAAGTGTATCTAGTCAGTCTGTAGAAAGCACTGTACCAACATCTACAGTTACTGATACTGAGACTTTCTCCGAAGTGTCTTCAGTTTCATCAACATCTGCAGATATTGGAACAACCTTAGAAGCCTCAACTACATCTTCAACAATTGCTTCAACTGTCACTTTACAAGATTCAACAATGCAGCAGCAATCAACTGACTCAACTACTTCTGAAACATCAACTGATGTACTTTCAAGTGTATCTAGTCAGTCTGTAGAAAGCACTGGACCAACATCTACAGTTACTGATACTGAGACTTTCTCCGAAGTGTCTTCAGTTTCATCAACATCTGCAGATATTGGAACAACCTTAGAAGCCTCAACTACATCTTCAACAATTGCTTCAACTGTCACTTTACAAGATTCAACAATGCAGCAGCAATCAACTGACTCAACTACTTCTGAAACATCAACTGATGTACTTTCAAGTGTATCTAGTCAGTCTGTAGAAAGCACTGTACCAACATCTACAGTTACTGATACTGATACTTTCTCCGAAGTGTCTTCAGTTTCATTAACATCTGCAGATATTGGAACAACCTTAGAAGCCTTAACTACATCTTCAACAATTGCTTCAATTGTCACTTTACAAGATTCAACAATGCAGCAGCAATCAACTGACTCAACTACTTCTGAAACATCAACTGATGTACTTTCAAGTGTATCTAGTCAGTCTGTAGAAAGCACTGTACCAACATCTACAGTTACTGATACTGAGACTTTCTCCGAAGTGTCTTCAGTTTCATCAACATCTGCAGATATTGGAACAACCTTAGAAGCCTCAACTACATCTTCAACAATTGCTTCAACTGTCACTTTACAAGATTCAACAATGCAGCAGCAATCAACTGACTCAACTACTTCTGAAACATCAACTGATGTACTTTTAAGTGTATCTAGTCAGTCTGTAGAAAGCACTGTACCAACATCTACAGTTACTGATACTGAGACTTTCTCCGAAGTGTCTTCAGTTTCATCAACATCTGCAGATATTGGAACAACCTTAGAAGCCTCAACTACATCTTCAACAATTGCTTCAACTGTCACTTTACAAGATTCAACAATGCAGCAGCAATCAACTGACTCAACTACTTCTGAAACATCAACTAATGTACTTTCAAGTGTATCTAGTCAGTCTGTAGAAAGCACTGTACCAACATCTACAGTTACTGATACTGAGACTTTCTCCGAAGTGTCTTCAGTTTCATCAACATCTGCAGATATTGGAACAACCTTAGAAGCCTCAACTACATCTTCAACAATTGCTTCAACTGTCACTTTACAAGATTCAACAATGCAGCAGCAATCAACTGACTCAACTACTTCTGAAACATCAACTGATGTACTTTCAAGTGTATCTAGTCAGTCTGTAGAAAGCACTGTACCAACATCTACAGTTACTGATACTGAGACTTTCTCCGAAGTGTCTTCAGTTTCATCAACATCTGCAGATATTGGAACAACCTTAGAAGCCTCAACTACACCTTCAACAATTGCTTCAACTGTCACTTTACAAGATTCAACAATGCAGCAGCTGTCAACTGACTCGACTCTTTCTGTTTTACCTTGTAATTGTACTTTGAACTTAGAAGAGTTGAATTATTGTGTTTCTTTAAGCAAACAAGATGTTATAGATAATTTTCATGGTTTGTCTTTTTTTTTTTTTTTTTTTTTTTTTTTATAATAATCATGATTCTTCCGCTTTTGTTTTCTATATATAGTTTACGTTTATTCATTATGTTATTATTTTTTATTTTAAAGTTTTTAAAGAATTTAATTTAAGTTTTAATCTTTGTTTGTTAATTGAATAAAATTGTAATTTTTTTTTCATTAATTTTTTGATTTTGTTTTGTCGTGTTATTGTTTTATGGATTCTGTGTTTAAGTGTATTAGTATTATTTTGGATTTTTCATGGAGTTGGAATCAGTTTTTTATTGGATTCTTATCCTGCCTATTGTTTAAATTATAAATTGTTTTGAGATCTTCTTTATATTCTTAGTTTTTCTATTCAGGACGATGTTACGCTGATAAACTAGTTGAAGCAATTAGTTTTCTTAATTCACGAATCGAATATCTCAGTCTTCGAATTTTACATTTCGATTCTTGTCGCAAACAGCTTCGAAATGAGATTTTATTAAAGCGCAACTTAGTTATTTCAGAATATGATCAGTGCGCTATTAATACAGACTGTAGACTTGAACAACTGAGGTACTTAATAAAGCACAAAAAAGAACAACTAGAGTTTGATTTGGAATTTGAAAGATCTGGATACGGCGACTACTTCTTTAAAGGTTAAATATAAATGTTTTCAACTTTCTTATTTTGTAGTTTATATTCATCCTCATTTTTTTTTAGTTCTTAATAAATATAACTATTCGTTTAATTTAGGAATCTACAAAAAAGTGAAGAGTATATTTTAAAAGTTTAGAAATATGTTTTAAAAGTGACCAAACTTCAAATAAAAATTGGAAAGAAAATATTCGTGATATTGTTACTTAGATACATTTTAGCATCATTGCTGCATAGAAACGTGCAACATCGTTGCATAGAAACGTGCGTCATCTTAGTTAAATATACATACACATTTATATATGTTACAATTTTTTATTTGAAATTTTTTGTGGTTTATTATAAAATAAATATATCAAGTTTATTGTTTTATTTGTTTTTCTTTTCTGATTCCTTAATATGAAAACCACTAAATACAATTTCTTGATGATCATTAATGATTAACTAATGATCATCAATGACCAAGTAATGATCATCAATGACCAAATAATGATCATCAATAATCAGGTAATGATCACCAATGACCAGGTAATGATCATCAATGACCTAGTAATGATCATCAATAATCAGGTAATGATCACCAATGACTAAGTAATGATCATCAATGACTAAATAATGATCATCAATGACCAAGTAATGATTATCAATAATCAGGTAATGATCATCAATGACCAAGTAATGATCATCAATAATCAGGTAATGATCATCAATGACCAAATAATGGTCATCAATGATCAACAAAATGGTCATCAATGATCAACTAATAATTATTGATTAACCAATGATCAAGTACTGATTATCAATAATCAACCATTAATTATTAATAATTAATCATTGATCATCATGGATCAACCACTGATCATCAGTAATTAACCACTGATCATCAGTAATCAATTAATGATCATCAATAATCAAACAATGATCTTTAAAGATCATTGTCTGAAATCTTAGTTTTCAGATATCATAATTAAGATCAGGCATTTGTTGAATTTAATAATCAAATAAAATATTTCACTTTTCTGATGAAATTGCACTGAAGGACGGATATTAAACAATGTGGCTAAAACTTAATTGATAATTTTTTGTAACAAATTAGTTCTGTTTAAATAATTGAAAACGTTTAGAACGCGGGTTTAAGATTTTACATATTCGTAGGAGTTGACTTCTTTATATAGTGAGTAGTGACAACTAACTTAGAGCTGCCGTCAAATTTTTTTTTTCAAAAATTTTGTTGAATTCGTTGTCACTAACCCCAAATCGGTAGAATAGACTTTTGACACTAACTTAAGAATTATTCATCAAGTTTTAATTTTTATCAAAAATTATCAGACTTTAAAAACTTATACCCAAGAAAAGATTTTTCCTTCAAGGAAATGTAAACGATGGTTGCAAATCTTTAACGATCGTATTTTTAACAAGATACCCTGTGAAAAAAAGCGCTTGTCCACATGGGTTTCTTTGTGGGTTCCGTTTGGGATTCATGGGAATCCACTATATATGAGCAGTTAATAGGTATAATGACAGAAGAAATGAAGAAAGCTAAACATTTTTTCATCAGTATTGATTCTACTTCTTATATTAGCTGTGTAGGTTAACTGTGTTCATTTTTTGGTATGTTCAAAAGAATTGCTATTCGGTAGAAAGATTTTAGTGCTTTTACCCAATTGAGCTCAATTGGATAAAAACACTAATAATCTTTCTACCGAACAGCCATTCTTTTGAACATACCGAAAAATTTATGATCTCATGAAGTCATAAATCTGAATAATTAGCAGGTGGTATATTTTTAATTTCAGAATTGCATGGTTTCAATATAAACAATAGTCGCGATTACGATTACAATGTGTATAACATGTCTTTTTATTCATTTGAATTTTTTATGTTATATTTTTTTATATAATGTTGTCACATCCGATGGCTTAGTATAGGAACAGCCACAAATAGTCACTAAGACTAATTCAAAGTAGCGTCCTCTATTGACCAATATTTGCGTGCAGAAGTACTACTCAAGCGCTGAGTTGGCGGTGGCAGGATTTGAAATCGTATCGTACAACAGTCCGAGTTTTAACTTTTCGTTTGACGCTCTAACCAACTGAGCTATCCTGTCTGGTACGTTTAAGCTCAAATTAAAGAAGGTATTCCTTTTGCAACATTTGTACCATGCTTGGCACACTTTAAATCTTGATGATGGATGCGCTGTAGACTGTTGTAGAAATGTTTCAGAACTTTTTATTCTGCTTCAAAATATCTAAACTTTTTCAGTGCTTTTACATATAGATGAGAAATACTTCAAAATAATTTAATAAAAACAGAAAATGTATCACTTAAAAACAACAGGATACCAGGTGGTCAGCCAGATCTGAAGCAAAAATTAGTTTAAACAAAAATTGAAATGAAGTAATTAATGCACTCTCATTTAATCACAAAAGTCAATCACAAGTTCAGAAGCTAATGGACTTATTTAACCTACACAGCAAATATAAGAAGTATCTTGAAACGATTTTAATGGCCACATTAAGAGGTGATATACCAGAAAGATTCAACAAAAATAGTAAACAATTACAGTCAGTTAAGATTGATTTAGAAATATTTGTAAGTTTATACAAATTGTTAATTTGATATGTATTAGATATGAGTAGCAGTGGCGGAACTACTGGACGCAGGACCCTGCGTTGCGGGGGGGCCTACCAGCTATAGGGGGCCCTCATATAAAAAAAGTTATACTCTCAATAATATTTATACTATAAAACTCTTTTCCGCAAAAAAAACATTCTTTTGCGGGGGGGCCCAAATTTTGAAGTTCCGCCACTGATGATTAGTATGTTTAATATCTATGAAGAGAGAGAGCAATTAATAAATCGGGACACAAAACATATCGAAAAATACGCAAAAGAAAAAGAAAATTAATTGTAGATAAAAAAGAAGGAGAAATAAATTTTGAAATTCAAGGCTCTTTCAGGATTAACACATATTATGCTATTATCGATAAACCACATTCTGAACTAGAAAGAAAAAAATTGTGCTATGATGAAGCCAATAAAAAATTTAAAATTTAAAATCTCCATCAGAAGTTTACAAAAAAGTAGAAATACTTTTAAAAATATATAAAAAATTAAATTTCGACTTCATTTGCTAACGAGTGTATACAATTCAGAAGTTATTTAATGAATTTAGCTGAAAATGTAATATAAAATGATCAGAACTGATAAACTTCAAGAACTATAACTATCCTATATATAACTATCCTTAATGCTATATCAGCTATAAGTAAATATATTTTTAAGAATATATCTATGCTGCCCAACGTCCAACTGTTCAGCCGAGAGAACATTTTTAGCATTAAAAAGGGTAAAGTCTTATATGATTTCGGGAATGACTGGTGTGAATGTCTTTTTAAGTTAGCAATTCTATCTATTGAATATGCAGTTACCATAGACATAAACTATAATGACGTTATAATTACATTTGCAAAACAAACTCACGTAAAAAATTAAATATATTTTTTAATGTTAAGTGAGTTTAACTAAATGTTTGTATTGAAATTGTTAATATTTTTTTAATAATCACCCCATATTATTCACCCCAAAATATTCAGTTATTGTAAAAGAGAGCGCTTAACAAAATATTGCCCCAGGGCGCCAAAAATATAAATATGTCTCTGATCTTGGTTTTTTGTTAATTTTGACAAACAACTTTCATACTATTGGCAATTATCAGTTGACTGAATGTGGAATTTTATACGTACATAAAAGAATTTTGTGACAAATTAAAGCAAAAAAAAAATCATGCAAACCACCTAGAACCAATCCCATGGAATTAATAGGTCAATTATATTAAAAGTGAAAATCCTTTCGTATTCTAAACGTGTAATTAAGGAATTATTCAATTTTTTATAATTTCAGGGGGAAAGCACTATGAGTTTGATTGTCTTATCAAAATGTTTTTATATTAGAAAAAATAAAAATAGAAACTTAATTTATATTTCAAATAAATATAAATCTTTGAAAACCCTGTACTTTGTCATTATTTAAAAAAAATTAAATTAATTTATTTTTGCACGCAATACCTAATATCTATTTTACCCCCTGGATATATAGCGTTTTAAAGCGTTCTAACTTGTTATCAGTTCATTTTTTCTATATAGTGTTTATATTTTTTTGCTTCATTTTAATTGAGCTTTCGATTGATGTATAAATTATTAGATTTTAAAAAATAAAATTTTATTGCTATGGGCAGGTGCTAGTTTCCATAATGGTCATTTTGAAAGTGGGTCTGAGTCTTAAAACGAATGTTTTAACCTTATCAACATGTCGACCAAGTTTCATGCCTTTACCCTAAATAGCGCAAAGTTTGCACCAAATGACTGCACACAAAAACAACAACATAAAAATAGCAATTTTAAACTGCTGAATCAGTATAACAAACAAATAGCGAGTTATGTAAGATATGGATTATTTTTATTTTCATAAGAAATAAAAAGGAGAAATAGACAAATTGTTGTGGTAGCTATGTGCGTTGCTATGAAGAATTATTAACGCAACATCACAGTTTTATTGTTTTAAAACTTTAATGTAAAAAATGAGTAAAAATCTCTTTCTTCTGATAGATAAGGATTTTTTCTAATAAAAACAATACTAATTAAAAAAACCATTTACCATGAGCCCACTTTAAATGGATAATGTATTTATATATTTTTAAACGTTTAATAATTTCATGTAATATTTGATGTATTTATACTGTAAAGTTTTTATAGAGATATACAACTATATTTGAATATGATTTATTGAGATTGTAAAATACGAGCGGTTCTCGATGACAAGACCTGACGGTCTTCTGCGAGTCTCCGCGTTCTTTTTATAAAATTAAATACCTGTATAACTTATATTATCTTTTACTTAGTTCTTATTGTATGATTTTGTTATTTAAATGTTAACGATTTTATTGTACAACGATTTACTAAATTTTACTGTAAATTTAAAAAAAAAAAAAAAAATTTATCGTTACTATGACATCTATCGAGTTTCGTGTTGGTTATTTTTTTCCGGATGCCGTTATCTTATTTGCTTAAGCGCAAACCCAAGTTTGTTTGATTTATAAATTGATATAAAAATTAAAAATTGATAAAATTTTTTTTTAATCTAAGAAAAAATTTGAAAAAAATTGCCTAATTCAAAATATAATAAATTTAATTTGATAATGTTCTTGATATATAAAATAAAATATATAATATATATTTTCTAGTAAATAATAATATTTTGTATCAATATTTTGTATATATAAATTATATTTTCATAATCATTATGATAAGTTGCATGATTTTTAAATTTTTTTTTCTGCCAAAAATAAAAATTAGAAAAAGACAAGCATAACTTGTCAGCTTTTTTTAAATGGCTACCAAAAAGTTCAGCAAAATTATCATAATGTTGTTCTTTTGGTAGATTTTTTTTTAAAATTTAACGTTCTACGCTTGTGCTTTCTCTTTTTTTATTTCTGGCAGAAAAGTCAAAGCAAAAGCCATGCAATTTATTCAGTAAAAGTTAGTATTAGTAATAGTATTGATATCATTTTCTGAGTAAATTATAGAATTTTTATGATTTTTCTTCCAGAAACATAATAAGGGAAAACCCATGTATGACGTTTTATAAAATATTAACAAATAATGCTCACAGAAATAAGTTTTTTTACTTCTTGAAAAGTTTAAAATTTTACCAAAACTTAACATTAACAAAAACAACTATTTTTAACCAAAATAATTAGTGGGTGCATGCAACCACTAATTAATCTGAGAGTTAACAGAAAACAAAATAGAGATTTAAAGCACAAGATGGTGTGAAAACTGTAAATTGTATGAGTCAGAAATTCCAAAACATTAATCAATAAAAATAATGCACAAAAAGAAAGTTTTTGTGCATTATTATTGATATTTTTATTTAAACTCAGTTACAGTTGAACATCTTTGCCTGAACAATTTATAAATAAATTAAAGATTATTATTATTGTTCTAAAGTATTTTTTAGTTGCCAGTTCCTCTTCCACTGTTTGAGTAGTATATGCCAATGGTATGCAAAATAGATATATTAGGAGTTAATTTTATTTAAAATGTTGGCTCCTATAATATTAAAGTCTTTGCTTCCTTGACGGTTCTTTGCTTTTGTAACTAAGGTTTAAGTCTTCATTTATTCTAATCATTTTAGCCATAAATGGACAGCATATTTCCTGATAAAGTAGACTTGACTATTTTTATTGTATGAACATTTCTTCTTTTTTCAAAAGTGTCAAGCTTTAGTTTGTTTAAAGGGGAGTGGGTGATACTAAGTTTGTGACAGATAATTCGAACACTCTGCTTTTGTATTATTTTAAGTGTCTTTAGTTATGCTTTGGATTGTAAATAGTATAATGTGCTAGCATATTCTAATTGGCTACGTATAAGTCCATTGGACGCTATATTTAACAGTTCCCTTGAAAGCCTGACAGATGCTCAAGCTGATATTCTTATACTAGTGTGGCATTTTTTAATAGTTGAATCCTAAATTAGAGATGTTGATCTATTGTTACCTCTCATTGCTTAACATAATTTGCTGCTTAAATCTCAATATTTCCAATTTTGTCAAGTCAATTAATAGGGTACCTACAAGTTTTCCTTCTTTAAGTGAGCTATACCTGGAGTTAGTTACTGTTATTGAAGTAGTTTCACAGTAAGATGAAGGAAGTGCACAAAGGAAAAGTTTCAGTAAAAGTATGCAACTTAGCTAAACAACAAGTCATCCATGAATGAGTTTCAATTGATGGAACAAGTTGATGAAAGTAGCGACCCCGGTAGTATTTATAAAAAAGAGAAAGAGATGCAGACATATGGTTATGGGACAGAGACTCAAGTTTATCATCTTGACTAGGTCAAACTACATTTTCAATGCACTTTTAGATCTTGTCTAAATAAGAGACTCATTAAAAGAATGTGGTCAAATATGACAACAATATTCCATACAAGAATGAATATGAGATTTATATAGGTAGAGAATGGAATCAGTAAAGAAATAGCAAGCAATAGAGGCAACTTTAGAAGATATTAACTTTGCAATGGATTGTATATTTGGTTCGCATGAAAGATCAGTAGTGAATGATAATATAAGAAGACATAAATTTGAGGAAGACGAAAAGGAGGGGGGGGGGGGGAGGAGAAAGAGGGAAGGTTTTAAAAGATCTATTTAAAATAGGTATTAATCTGTTTAACTATTTAGTCTCTTTATTTTACTTCCTCTTTTAATTATATTATGTGTTTTATAAATAACCATTTTCAAACATTTTTTTTGGTTTATTGATATCTGTAGTTTAGACATAGAATGAGAGAAGTCCTCTAATTTCTTTAGTTTACATTTAATTCAGTAAAACAAAATATCATTTTTAACATCATTATATAATAGCGATAGGCTGGGCAACTGTACCCACATCATCTGGATTAAAATGTAATCTGCATTTTAAAATTATGCAAAAAATAATATATAAATATATATATATATATATATATATATATATATATATATATATATATATATATATATATATATATATATATATATATATATATATATATATATATATATCATAAATATATATATATCATAAATATATATATATATATATATATATATATATATATATATATATATATATATATATATATATATATATATATATAGCTTGTCTAGTATGCCAAAAGAAATTTCACTGTTGGCTTGGTTAACAAAATGTTAGGACTCTCCGAGTAATGGGTTGTTGATAACTGTATCTGTATTTTAATTTACTCTATTTAATTGTATATTTATATTTACATGATGTTTGAATTGAATGCATTATAATAATAATAGTAATAATTATAATGATAATAATAATAATAATAATAATAATAATAATAATATATATATATATATATATATATATATACTTGTTTTCTTGTAGACATATATTATAAAGAGAAAGTAAAGTATGTTCTTATATAACTATGATTTCAAGGCGTCTTCGTGCTAGTATTGATGCTACTCGTAATATCAAACACACTCGAATTAAAAATGAGCAAGATATAGAAAGTGAATACAAATTTATGACTTTGCTTGGTAAGGGAAGTTTTGGCACAGTGTCTGAAGCAATACGATTATATGATCAAACTGGATGGGCTATTAAAGTTATTAACAAAGAAAAGGTATATAGTAATAAAATTATTATAACATTTCATTTTATATATAAAAATTAAGCACATTTTATGTAAAAACCATTAAATTTAATTGTGGAAACTAATTAAAATTGTAGTTTTCAAAAAAACTACACAATTACAAATTGGTAGACTGGACTGTTTTTAAAAACATTTATGTTTTATTTTTTTTAATAAAAATAAAAACATTCTGAATTTGTTTATTTTTGTTTTTTAACTGTTTACATACATTGACTGACAAAGGTAGAACATGTGAAGAGTGTTGCTACAGCAAATGAAAAAAAGGTAAAACATGTGAGGAGTGCTGCTACATCCACTGACAAATAGGTAGAACCAGTTGTGGACTGGAAAGGCCTGCGATCGCACTCCAATCTTGACCATGCATGTAATTTTTTTTTTTAACTTGGCCATGACTCTTTAGATAATTAAAAATGCGCTAAAAAAAAGCGACAAAGGAAAAGAATTATAAAAAGGTTAAACTATAAAAAAAAGTAAGAACTTTTAACAAAAAAGAAATTAAAGAAAAAATTTAAACCAATGACTCTAAAAAAATTAACTAATATAAATTTATTAACTAAAACTCTGATAGAAAATTATTTTTAATTATGTTTTGTAATTACTTTAAGGTTGAATAACTCGTTGCGCTGGTTTGACGAGGTTCTAACTGATATTTTTTTTCTAAATAAAAATATTTATATGATTATTTTTAATTTATTATGTATTTTTATATATCAATCACAAAAGGAATACATAAAAAAATAAAAAATAAGAGTATAAATAATTTCAGTTATAACCTTTTCAAACCAACACAACAAACTATAAAACTTTGATCTTTTCTAATATTTTTATAATATTTTAATTCTTTTAAATTAATAAAAAACTTATTTTTTTTTTATAAAAAACTAAATTTGTTTAAATTATCAAAAAGTATTTTTGAAAAAAATTTATGGAACATTGTCGTCATTGTTTATAAAATTAAGAATACAAATTATTTTTAAAAAATGACATTCATCCTTTAAAAAAAAAAAAAACTTTTGAAATAAATAAAGTTTATTAATATTCTATGATAATTTATTTATTAGCGTTTAGCTTAAGTAAACAATTTTTATTCAAAGTTTTAAAGCTTGGTCGGAAAACGGGAGCGATCGCTCTCTAATACTGACCACGGAAATTATATTTAGTTGCGAAAAACTGTCCAGGTTTTTTAGTCGTTTTGAGAACATTTTTTTCCAGTCATCTAAATTAATTTATATATATATATATGTGTGTGTGTGTGTGTGTGTGTGTGTGTGTGTGTGTGTGTGTGTGTGTGTGTGTGTGTGTGTGTGTGTGTCTATATATATATATATATATATATATATATATATATATATATATATATATATATATATATATATATATATATATATATATATATATATATATATATATATATATATATATATATATATATATTTATATATATATATATATATATTTATATATATATAAAGCTGTATATATATATATATATATATATATATATATATATATATATATATATATATATATATATATATATAGGCTTGGTCGGGAAGCGGGAGCGATCGCTCTCTAATACTGACCACGGAAATATTTAGTTGCAAAATATATTTAGTTGCGAAAAACTGGCCAGGTTTTTTAGTCGTTTTGAGAACATTTAAGTTTATGTACGAAACAAAAAATTTTTGTTTTACGGACATACATGGAAACATAATAAACTTGAATGTTCTCAAAACATCTTTGTGCGAAAGAATAAAAAGAATATTCGCGAACAGTAAAAACCCGCCAAATTAATGAAGAAACTAATTCTATTGGTTCAAAAAATACGCTGACTTGACAAAATAATGTTCTAGAGTATTCTGTTAAAATGATTTAGGAATTGTTTAACTCACGATTTGTTACATTTTGAGATTTCTAGTTTTCTTGTTTTAAAAATATATATCATTTGTTGGCGGACATGTACTCGGCGCACCCTAAACTCTGTGAAGTTTGTAAACGAACTTGGTAAAGTTCGAAACAATATTTTTGCTGTTTAATGATTGGCTAATATTAACGAATGAAAATTTAGCACATTAGTTTTAATTCGCGCTTCAAAAGCCAATTTTTTACCGCCTTTAAAATAAGTAAGATGACACCTTTAACTGAGTTGATTGAAAGTATCAAAGAAGAAAAGTTTCGCTTCCTCGTTATAAAGTATTTTTAACTTTTTTAGTTGATTTCTGTCTTGTTAATTTAATTGTTAATTTCTATAGTAATTCAATGATTTAATTATTTGATTTGTTTATCTTGCTAAGAAGAATTGCTTCAAATATGTTAAACTTTTCAAACTACGCGAAACATAAAATAGGTATTAAAAAAATTAACTTTTTTATAAAATAATTTAGCTTAAATAAAACTAAAACTTGCAAACTTTGCTAAATAAAGAGCATTTGTTTCATTTTTAAGCAATCGTAAGTTGTTACTTTATGTAAAAAACATTGCTTAACTTTATAAAAAAAATTATAAAAGAGCGATGTTTCGAAAATATTTGTTCTAAACGTAATTTATTTAGCTCTAAGTTTTTCGCATTAAAAGATATTTTATTTGCCTAATTTTTTTTTTTTTTTTGTAATTGTCTCTCATCGGTCCAATTAATCTTTAGCGCTTTTTTTTTTTGCTTTTTAAAATGTTCTCAAAACGACTAAATTCCACTTCAAAAAGCGGGAAGCTCCTGCTTCCTGACCAAGCCTATATATATATATATATATATTATATATATATATATATATATATATATATATATATATATACACTCAGGGTCTGTAACAAGGAACTTTTTTCTAACGGACTATTTGTCTGGTAAAGAATCAAATTTGCTGGACATATCCGATAAAAATTTAAAAAGTGTGATCGAACGCCATTCCTGAACATGCCTAAAATGTTTTGTTTTTACAACTTGGCCACGCAATTTGTGTTGACAACTCTAGGCGTTTTAAAATGTGCATAAAATAAAAAGAAAATTTGTATGATAGATTATCTATCAAAAAAAAAATCCTAAAGATATAGAAAAATCTAAACTCAAAATACTAAAATTTAAAAGGGAACATTTATTTATTTTACATTTTTTAAAAATTTGAATGTGTGTACATGTATGTCCGGTAAAAAACCACATATATTCATGAAAGTTTAAACAAGGGTGTAATTTTGATTAAGTTGGTTTAGTTTTTTTTAATAAAAAAAAAAAGTAAAAATGATGTCAACTTAATTTTTTTATTTATTAAAGAAAATGTAATTAGGTTTAGAATAAATGTGAACTTGTTATGAAATTATTTATATTAATTTAAAAAAAGTTAATTATAAAAATACACATGTGAAAAATGAGTAGCACAAAGGTTTAAACAAATTTTTACAAACAAATAAAAAATGGAAAAGAAAAGCAAAATTAATATTTAAAATGTCTGCCTTTGTTTTTATAGTAAAGATAAACTTATTTCTGCATCGATTCAACTAATTTCATCCACATCTCTTGAGGTACCTTCAACCAATACTCATTCAAAAGTTGCTTTAAGTGCTCAGTTGATTGTACTTGGTGATAAGTAAGTTGATTGTTGATCCAAGACCAAATAATTCAATTGGTTTGAGATCTGGTGATCTAGGGCACCAAGGGATTATATTAATCTTTTTCTGCAAAAAGTATTCTTTGATTGATTTAGCTGTATTAGCTTGAGCCCTGTCTTATTCTACCATACAACTGTCTGATTAATGGAATTAAACACATTTCCAATGTGTTTTTATAGGTGTACTGATTTATTTGGCCTTTTTACATCTCACACATACCAATACCTTTGTGAGGATAACATTCCCAAATACCAATCAAGCCTCCACCGTCTTGTCGGCATGGTTGCAAAAACCGTTCTGAATATTTCTCTGTTGCAAATCTTTTGACATATATTCTTCCCTTGCGGTTTACAACTTGAAAATTAGCTTCATCACTCCAAATGGCTTTTAACCAGACTTCAACAGTCCAGCTGTGTCAGTCTTTCTTTTGACCATATTCGTTGTTTATGTTGGTCCATGATTGATAAAATAGGTTTTCTTGCTGCAATGTACATTCCAATACCTTTTTGCAGCAATGTTTTTCTAACAAGCTCTCTGCTTACATTATAATTATTTTTCGACTCGTTGAAGATTTGTGCTACCTTTTTGAAGCTGTGCCTAGAATTCTCTCTGCAGATTCTGAATATGCTACTTTTGTCCTGGTCACTGAGCTTTGATGATATCCTGGAACACGGCATGGCAACAACGTCATTGGTAAGGTCATTTGAAATTGGCAACAACGTCATGGCAACAACGTCATTTGAAATTGTTTCAATGATTTCAGTTAATTTTTGTTGAATATGAAGCTGTTGGATAATGTTGTGATGAATTTTTTGACTGAAAACCACTCAATCTACTTAAGTTTATATTTTAAAACAATTTTCGCACCAAATTAATTAATTAACAAATAATTTAATTTGAATAAACTTGTTTAAACTTTTGTGCTACTCATTTTTCACATGTGTATTTTTATAATTAATTTTTTTTTAATTAATATAAATAATTTCATAACAAGTTCACATTTATTGTAAACCTAATTACTTTTTCTTTAATAAATAAAAAAATCAAGTCTACATTTTTAGTTTTTATTTTATTAAGAAAAAAAATATAAATTAATTTAGATGGCTGGAAAAAGTTTCAAAAGTTAAAAAATGTTTTTTTAATTGATAGATTTTCTGGCCAAACCAAAAACCCTCAGTATATGCATAGGCCAGGAAAGCGTGCCCTTTCACGTCATAATATGACGACGCAAATACTATTTGGTTTTACTTAACTTCACCAAGGCTGTTGATATGCTTTAAAAATTTGAATACGTTTTAAAAATGCACTAAAATAATTATCTTAACTTAACTATAAAGAAATTAAAAAAAAACTTATCGTAAAAGAAGCAAATA